GGGCCAGTCTATGCCTGAGTAGTCCAGTTTGTTTTGCATGCATACAGTAATTAGTGTTTTAATTAAATGTTGTTTTTTGGAGGCTGCTTATATTCCTAAGTCGATGGTGAGTGGGGTCAGTAGGAGGAGCTAGTGGTTGTAGTATTTTGGGGTGCCACATGCAAGGAAAACATTATGGGGATGGTGTGTGGAAAATTTTAAAGTCTCATGGAGTGGAGTGTACAAGTTAGCCGCAAGGAAGCAAGCTGCAAGTTAGCCAGAAGCATTAAGCTGCTCAGAGCATTGGGATGAAGGAAGAGCGCCCCAGAACAAATTGAAATTGTCAACAAAGCCAAGACTGTGATGTCAGAAGGCGGACTGTATAACTGCTATTGAGACTGCAGTCCAAAAAATGTCACCTGTTCCAGCGAGAGGTGACTTATTTGGGCCATGTGATCAGTGAAAAAGTGGTGGCTACAGATCCAGCTAAGACAGCAGCGGTGAGGGACTGGCCAGTACCCCAGACAGTGAAGCAGGTAAAATCCTTCCTAGGCTTTGCTGGTTATTATCACCGTTTCATACCTTCTTTTTCCAAGATCGCAACACCATTAAATGCCCTGACAGGTGGTACCACCAGGTTGCCAGAGCAGAGAAGGGAAACAATGCCACTGCATGTTGACCAGGTCATTGTAGAGGGAGAATACTCATGGGAGGAATGCCAGACCAAGGACTTGGATCTCTCCCGGTGGAAGGAGCAGAAATTGCCCCGGCCTGAGGTATGTGATCCCGCCTCCCTATACATGAAACAACAGCTCAGAGAATGGGACAAAATCCAACTGAAAAATGGTGTACTGGGAAGAGTGTGTGAAGAGATGGGCTTTCCAAGTGGCTGTTCCAAAGCAGGAAGCCAAGGCAGTGTGGAAAACATACCATGACGGGATGAGCCACCCCAGCAGTGAAAGAGCTTTGGCAGCTCTACGGCAGTACTGTAACTGGCCCAGGATGACCCAGGACATACAAGAGTGGATTGAAACCTGCCCACAGTGTGTGTGTGCCAAGGACTGGCCTGAGGTGAGAGCCCCTTTATTACCCATAGTTACCTCATACCCATTTGAGTCTGTTGGGGTGGATTACCTCTCTCTGGGATGCCCAGATGACCAGTACCCCTATATCCTTGTGATGACTGACCTGTTCTCAAAGTATGCTCTTGCATCAGCACCTACCAGAGACCAGTCTGCAAATACGATGGCCAGAGCCCTGTACAACTTATCCAGACGTATGGATGCCCAGAATGTATTTTGACAGACCAGGGGGCCGCCTTCGAATCATCAATGATAAATTAACTTTGCCAGCTCTACGGATGCTAAAAGAGCTGTACCACAGCAGATCATTCCCAGGGGTATGGGGCCTGCAAGAGATTCAACCAGACCCTCTTGAGGCTGTTAATTTCCCTGACAGAGACCAACCAGGCACAGTGGCCCAACCAGCTGTTAGCTCTCATCCAATAACATCACCCACAGCACAACAGGGTTGACCCCGTGGTGTTTGGGAGACATGCCAGACTGCCGATGGACTGGGCAACTGGCCTGAGCCCTACGATGTAGCCTTGTACTCTTCAAGGCTGGGTAAAACAGCACCAGAAAGCTCTGAGTTATGCGTACGAAGCAGCAAAGAGACAATCACAGCACAGTCAAGATTGGGATCAGGTACTACTACAACAAATGAGCCTCTGCTTCCAGGGGAGCGGGTGCTCATTTGCAACTTCAGCAGGAGGGCTGACGGAAAGTTGAGCCAGAGATGGACCCCAGAATCATCTGTAGTGGTGACTCAGCTGAGGGAGGGCCACCCAGTGTATGTCCTTAGGCCAGAGGGTAAGGAAGCACCAACACAAACACTACATCGCAATAATCTCTGACTCTGCCCCTTAAATATGTTACAGGACAGCAAGCCAGTGGGGGAGCCACACTAGTTGCCCCCTCCCAGTTGGTGTTTTCCTGGTTTGATTATAAGCTCTACCCAGCCACTAGCGGCACGTTTTTATAACACTGCATGTTTATTTGGAGGATCAAAAGTGATTACATCCAACTGTGATAAACTGTACCACACCAGACATGGCCCAGGATTGGAAGACTCGGGCCAGGGGGCTTCTTATAAAGGACTGGATTGGGACAGGTAGAAAGAAGAGGAAAAAAGGACGCAGAGGACAGGAGTGCAACACCATGACCGGAGAGTTTGACACACCACAAGGTTGACTGTGACACCGAGGTAGTTTCCACGATAAATGGGACACCGAGATGAGGTACCGGATGAGGACCAGTGAGTCAGACGTGATGGGAGGCTGGAAAGACTGAGTTCAATGCCTGATAAAAGCTAAGTGAAGGAAAGTTAAACAAGGAAATGTGACGTGTGTGTGTATGTGAGCCGGTGACTCAGGGTGCTTCCATCTCCTCCCCAGTTGTGAGGACGAGACATGGCGGATCCAGAACCGGAAGAAAACAGCGCGACAGCAACATGGAATCCCCTTTGTGGGCGCTCTTCCCCCCATTCCCAGGACATAAGTACAACACTCCCTTTGCTGAACTATTTTACCACCCCACAGAGACATTAAAGACGAAGAATTTGTGTGTAGATACACTTGAAACTGGTTGATATCTACTGGGGTACATTTTAGTGATTTTTAGCCACTTTAATATCCATTTTTAAACCTTTTTGCTGTGTCCATTGAGTTTTTTTTATCATTTTTAAGTGGCTGTCTTTTTAGTTTATCGTAGCTGAACGCCTTTTGTTTTGATTCTGCTATTTTAGTGACATTAAATAAATAGTTTAAAGGACCACCTGTGCTGCTCCATTTCTCAAACAGTAGAATTCACTTTGTGTTACTCGTACGACATAAAAGAGAACGTCACACACTTGAGTAACACAGCTTCTCTATGATTTTCCTGTTCTCACCCCACCATCCTCACCATATCACTCTGGGCTTTCCACTGTTACCAAAGCTTTCTCTGAACTCGGCGTTGCTCTTTCCAAACTGAAAACCTCAGGTCCCATTACCTCCATAGAGTTCTTTGGCATGACCCAGGCATCACTCTGCTCCTGTCAAACTATCTTCTGGCGGACAGATGCACCAAACGGCAACTATTGTACCTCCTTGGTCATCTTAAGTATGCTATCCGCATAATTCCACAAGGGAAACCCTTCCTCTCCAACCTGTTGACCAAAGATGCAGCTGTCTCATCTGTCCATGATAGAGTCGTCCTGGACAATGCATGCAAAATGGAAATGCTCCTGTGGCAGAATTTTCTGTCCTCTTGGATCAGAATTCCATTCTTCTACTATGTCATCGTCACTCACCCCGAGGATATCCAACTTCTCTCAGATGCAGCTCCTTCCGCAGGTTTCGGCAGCTATTGCAGATGGAGATTGTTTACTTCTGCTTGGTCCCCAGAGTATAAATCTTTCATCATCTTTCATCTTCATCTGCTTTTTTTGAGATATATCCCATAGTCATAGCCGCCGATTTTTGGGAACATGAATGGTTCTGGAAGTCTATACTCATCCACACCAATAACATTGCAGTCGTAGACATCTTCAACAAAGGTCCCACCTGGTCTCCAGCCATTATGCAATTCCTGTGCAGACTCGCAATAATAGCACCATTTCATCCTCAGGGCAGCCCACACCGCCAGCTATAACAACATTGCTGATTCACTGTCTCTGTAATCATTAAAAATATTCATACTTTTGGCCCCAGAATCGGTTACTCGCCCCATACCAGTCCCATAATTTCTAGCCACAATTTTCGAATAGCTCTACTTCAAGGCATTTCATGCCACATACCACCTGTCCCTCTGACTGTTTTGGGGTCCAACATCAGCTTGGGCGGAATGAGCCCCAGACGTAATCCCCGCACTGAGTCTCCATCTGTCCAGTCCACAGCATATCCTCTAGGACCAGCCTAACAGAGAAATTCTTCCTTCATCTTCATCCTCACCCTTTACATCCATTCATCCATCCACAACCTTAATTTCCACCAAAGGTTTTAACAATACATTGTCATGGCGTGGTCCATGCTAGTGAACTGATAATTGTGGCATGAAACTCCTAAATGAAGTTGTTACAATTCTATGCCATCATGGTTTTAAACATAGAAGGAACGTTTATTACAGGATTTAATAGACAAGCTAAACCAAAACCCCTCTCACCCTGCAGATGATTTAAACAATGATGTGAGAGTTACAGTGCTTTAAATTAGGTTGTAGTACTTTTGGAAAGGAACTTAGAAGTTAAGGTTTTTATGCTATGATTTAGACCATAGTGTTGTAATGTGAGGTTATACCATTTTTATTTACAAAGGAGCAGCTTCAATTTTGCCTTTTCATCCTCTGAAGGACCTTCACAGCCAGGTCCTGTCTTAACATTTTAATAGTAAAAAATATTATTGAATTGTTTATATTCTTTATTATGTATGATATTATGAAATATACACCTCTATATGTACGTATGTGTCATCAAGACTAGAAAAGCGCTATATAAATATATACCATTTATAGTCTAGTCTATAAGCCCAATTAGTGAGATTGTTATTTTACTCAAGCAGTGAGATGAACTCCAGGGAAAGGGGGATGGAAAGGGGCTCACGCGAGTAAAGTGTTTGTGGGGGCTGGGTGGTGGATACTGCGGCGTCAGGACACAATGACACAGCTCGCTGGAGCTATTGTGGTCTCTCTCACACACACACTCACACACAGATATCGCTCTCTATCTGACAGAGGGAAAACTGTAAGAACTCATTATATATTCTGCACACAGGTGTAAAATAGGTTCTCTTAAACACATACTTACAAGGACAGGGCAACACTGAAAACCTTAGCCCAAGAACACTGACTTCCAATCTGCACTGAACATGATTTACAATCTCTTTTCACACACACACATGCGCGCTCATGCGCGCGCACACACACACACACACACATACAATGTATCAAACATTAAGAGACATTGCATATTTCTTCAATTCCTACCTCTGGTTGGTTGGATTTTCAGTTCTGGTGCATTGCGAGGATTCAGTGGTTAGCCACTAAAATGCTGTTCTGGCAAGAGTCTGACTGTATGTCCTTTCTCCCCCTCTCTCTCTTTCTCTGCTGAGCTGTCCTGTCTGTGTTCCTTTAGCTGCACTGCTCCTGCATCCTATTCTGAGTTCCTCTCTGCCTGCCTTGGGGGGAGTCGCACTGTACTGTTATTGACTCAGAGACTCGTAACTCAAGTGCTTACATTTCTACATCATTACACTGCATTTTACAAAATAGTTCATTTAGAGGAAGCGCAAACACACAATAAAAGAACAAAATAAATTAAATTTACAAAAATCAGAACTTAATATAATATAAATGTAGAGATAAGACAATAATGAAAACCAATCAAATTCTCCAAGTCCCCAAATTGTACCCTGTATAAAACAATTCTGCAGTTGAATAAAAAGAACAATAGCAGCACATCAAAATCCCATTTACTGTTGGGCTATATAAAGTCTACCAGTACCACTGGATAATTTTATTGATGAGCTGTACAGAACAGACTGACTCCACTCATTATACTGGATGATATACATGCATCTTAATAAACATAAACTAAATAAAAGGAAAGTTAAAACAAGCACTGCAAGTCAGGATATGCAGCATAAATGTAAATTTTAAAAAACTTCACAAAACCTGAGGCCCTCAGTCAGGAAAAATACTGTTCCTGTGGTGCAAGCTTTTGGTCCTGATGGGTGCAGCCTCCGGAGAAATGGGAGTGTCTCAGGACGTTTGTGTCCATAATTGGAGGTATCCACCACAATCTTTCAGGCTAAACTGGAGGTTTACAAGTCCTGTAGGGAGTGATGCTCTTTGCTAAGCAAATGATCCAGTGTAGTCTGACCTTCTCCTTGACAGTGGAAGCAGCATGGCAGATGGTGATGGAGGAAGGACTTAATTGCATGAAGTGCACCATCATTGTCTTTGATAAATGACTGCAGCAGAGAGTGTAGGCTCTGCTGGGCTTTGTTGATGAGTGGTTTGATGCACAGCTTCCACTTGAGGTCCTGTGTGATCATGCTGCCCAGGAAGCAGAAGTAAATGGTTTTGTATTTATAAGGTGCTTTTCTAGTCTTGATGACCACTAAAAGCGCTTTACATAACAGTTTGCTATTCACCCATTCACACACATTCATAGGGTGCTTCTTTTTTTTTTAAAGAAGTACTCTACAGTATTTACCTTGGGAGTCAGACAGGGTAATGGGGATAGGTGGGGCTGGCCTTCTTATTGAAGACATCCATCTCCACTGTCTTAAAAAGTATTAAGCTCCAACTTGATCTTCCCTCACCTGGTCACCAAAGGAAGAATGGTGATGTCTGCAAACTCCCAAACCTAAATGGATTGATGACTGAAGGTGCAGAAAAGCATTGGAGAGAGGATGCTGCCAGCTTCAGATGTAGTTTCCAGTCTGAAAGAAAGTCAGTGATCCACCTGCAGGTGGAGTCAGGTACACTCAGCTGGGAAAACTTGTCCTTCAGTGGAGTTGGGTTGATGGTATGCAAGGCAGAGCAGAAGTCCTAAAACAGAATCCATGCATAGGGTCCTGCTGGGACCAAGTGCTGGACAGTGTAAATCAGAACCATGTTGACAGCATTGTTTGGAAGACCTTCTGGCTCTGTTGGTGAACTGCAGTGTGGTCAGTAAGTACTGTGGTTGTAGATTTTTTGGGAATGGTGATGATGGTGGAGGATTTAAAGAAAGCTGTCAAATGACAGGTCACCAGTTGTTAAAGATGTCTATGAACACCTTGCACACAGTGCTGGATGGAGAGAGTGAGTTATGGATGATTTGTGGCGATTGTGCTTCTGAAAAGGTCTGTTAACTTGTCGCTCCAGGATGGACAGAGTCATCAAGACTTCAAGTCTTTATCTGTCATTGTGGTGGAAATTCTTGGTGAGAGAAATTAAATAAGAATTTTCAGATCGAACAGTCTTTTGTGAATTTATTGTAGCAGAGGCAAAAATGGCATGTCAGGTGCGACTCCAAAAACTCCCAAGTACTCAGCACAACACTCAAGTTGCTCCTTGGTTTTAAAAAATAGACATTTTATTTTTTACTCTCAGTAAGTTATAAAAACTGTAAAATCGCCAAACTGGGGGAATAGCACCAGAGCGCCAGCTGTAGGGAATAGAAGAAAAGGGAGGGAAGGACACCTAATTATGGACCTGTCTAAAATCATGTGCAACCCATACCACAGCACATCAAGTAACATGTAACAAGTCCTTCGAGAACCTGATGACTTCTCCAACGCTGTCATCCCAAGCCAGCAGGTCTTCCTTTAACCAGCGACCCTTCCTTAACGCAGATCCCCCGACCCTTGTTGCCGCAGCACCTTGGCTTTGGTCGACCCTGTCTTGATGAGCCACTGTGCCCCGCACATTTCCTCTTGAAAATTTCATACTGTCCATATGTGACAATGACACTATGGGAAGTTCTGGAAAAGGGGCATAATGAATGCTAAAGTGTTTGGATACATTTTTGACCATTCAAGCACAGAATATCTAAAAGTTATGAAGTTAAGAATTATTAGGTAATGACTAATTTAATTGTTAAGTATTCCCTTAAATATGCTTTTATTTCTGAATGCTTGTGGCTATAGTGGTGAAGTTTATATTGCAACCAACTGAATAGCCCTTACTTCACCCCCTCCCTTCCCGAGCATCAAAACGCAAACGACCACATTGAGCTGTCTTCTCTCCACTGATGAGGTGTCTTTAGAATTAAAATTTCATTTGATTATTAAGGTATGTGTACTGTTTTTGATAGTTAACATTTAGAAAACTTGTGGCAGCATCAATACACAGTGGTGTTTATACCGCTGCTTTTTGTTTACATCTTATTTGCAACATTAGCTTTTCAGCACATGTCAGCCATTGAACAATAATTATATGAATATATATTGGGATAGTATCTTAGCTGCATACTTCTCATCTCACTTCGTCATTGTTCTTGTCTTCATACAATTATTCAGGAATTGAGTCTGGGGGCAGCCCAGTGAGCAAACCACTGTAGCCATGTTGACCCACCTTTTGATTTTTCATACCTGGTCTTTGAGTGTCGTTCCAGGCCCTCTGTAACCTTCATACAGGACCACAACTATTCACACACCTGCATATGCATCAAGGCAAGGCATCAAACATAAGTGACTATAATGTGGGGAAAGGCAATTATTGTTATCATTTTTGTTACAATATTATCATTTTTATATCTGTTGTATCTTTATTTTTTATTTATTTATTTATTTTTATATTATTGTATATTATATTAACATATCGTTATTTTTTATTAATGTATATATATATATATTGCCCTTAATTCAAAAGAGAGTCATTAAAAAAAGAAATGTATCAGATCTGCTGTATTTGTTTTGTATATATATATATATATATATATATATATATATATTGTCCTCCAACCATCTGCGGTTCAATCACAGTCTTCCCCATCTGCAAGATAGTGATCCCCTGAATTTCCCTCATAGAAAAAAGTGCTGCCCATAGATGTACTGTATGAATATGTGTGTGTGTGTGTGTGTGTGTGAATGGGTGAATGGTAATAAACTGTACTGTAAAGGGCTTTTAGTGGTCATCAAGACTAGAAAATAAATATATAAATACAGACCATTTATCTTATCAGGATGTCTGATTCAGTCCTGGCTAAACTTGCTGACATCCTGGAGAGATGAAGGGTAGCAACAAATTACACACTGGACACAGCAAGCCATAAAAGCCCTTGTCAAGCTGGGCAGCACACCCCAGACACCCGTACGAGAGAGGAGCACCATCCTCAGACATGGCAAAGAATGGCAAATGTTGGTAGACCTCAGAAGGCAGTGTCTTCCCGAGAGAGAGTGTAGCAACTACTCTCCAGCCAGATATAGTCATGTGGTCTGTAGTGGAGAAATGCGTCTTAATCCATGTTCAAGTCCAGCATGGACCATAAGTATTGAAGGTGGACTGGTAGCTGGAGAGGTGTCAGTTCACCTCCTGGGCACTGCTGAGGTGCACTTGAGCAAGGTACCGAACCCCCCAATTGCTCACAGGGCGCTTCTCCTGGGGCTGCTGGGCTCTACCATCTCTCTCATGTCTTGCATGTCTTTGAGTCCTCTGTGTGTGTGTGTGTGTGGGGGGGGAAGCCAACGTCTTCCCAGTTGAGGTTGGATGTCAGAGCTCTGTCTGCAGAGCAGCAGTTATACTGCTCCCCAGGGCTGGCATGACGAGGTCAAACCTGCAGAAAGGTAGAAAGGAGCTAGGAGACGAGGCAAAAAAAAGGAGGAAGGAGAACTGTTGGGGTCCAACACCTCAGGCATCCCCCTCACATCCGTGAGCATAGATATCATGTTCAAGACAAACATAATTAGAATTGCCCTCCAGGGACAAATAAAATTGTTTGTGTGTGCCTAATGTGAAAGGATTCCCTCAAGGCGTTAAAGAGATATCACATTCACGTGGCAAAAATGTGCTTTGTGGGGTCATAGTGACCTTGGACCACCAAATTCTATTCAGGTCATCTTTGAGTCTAAGTGAATTTTTGTGCCACATTAAATGAAATTCCCTTGGGCATTCCTGATTCTGTGTTCAAAAATACACATATTTTGTGAGGCCACCATAATGAATTTTGCATCCTCTATTGTTTTTGTCCTGACCCCCGACACAGCAGGAGGAATGTCTCAACATCAGACACATGCTAGCTTTATCTTAATCGATTTAAGACCCAAAGTAACAGTATCACTTACTTCAGTCAATATTAGCAATGTTAATCCCAATCAACCTGTACAGAAGCATCATAACATAAGTATCATTCATGGACTATGTTATCATCTGACTATAAAGTGCTGCTGTGTGAAATTTCATACTGACACAGCTGCCTATGACTATGTGACCTTTTCACAACACACTACTCTATATTATGCTCATGATGACACAATGAAACTTTCACAGTTTGGTCAACAAATCACTGTCACTAACAAACACAGAGCACTATTTATTGAGGCTTGAAGGAGCATCACATGTAGCATAGCTGATTGACTGCATTTAACCACAGTGAAGATTTAAGGAAACAGTAGTCTGGTTTGTTCTGTGTGCAGTTATCTCAAAGTTCACATTTCCCTGTGTTGCATAATCAGGCCGCCTGATTTTAACAACTGTGCCTTTCTGCTTCCAAGGCCCAGTCTAGCAAATCACATGCTGCCATGCTGAGGGAAAACTTTCTGGTGCTTTTACTGTCATTGAGGGAAGTCCTCATACAAGCCACTGGGAATGCGTACTATGTATTGTCTATTCAAAATAGATGTATTATGATATTAGTGTTGTCTGTGTTAAGAAGGAAAGTTGGAATGAAATTGTAATGCAGCCTGTATGAATCAGGTACCAAATACTGACTCTTTCCTATAGCTTTACAGAATAAAACATGGACTATAATATAGTGCCTCGCTGTACTCCCCTTTTAATGACACATTAAGAAAAAAGTTGTTAAAACCATTTGTGAAAAAATGTACCAAGCTAGTTTGAACTGAACCAATGTTCTCTTCACATGAATAATTTGAGGATCTTGGGTTTGAAGAACTGCATCTTGCTGGCGTCCATCAATGTCACACTCTCCTGGGCTCCCAGGAGGTGCTGGTGGGCATCATCAAACAGCTCCTTCCCAATTGCAGCCTGGACTCTGTCCCGCCATGCACTCAGTTTGGGTCTGCCATCAAACACATCCAGGCCGGATCCCAAAGGCTGTCATCGGGACAAAGGGGGGAAGAGAGGGGAATATTAATGTGGAAAGAGCCAACTCTTAAGCCACCTCCTCTGACTACTAATCGCTATGATACGTGACACAAACAAAAAACATATAGTTTCGTTTCAGTCACACGGCTCTCATCAACCTTGATCAGCAACTGTATTTTGTGCACTAACATCTCCATTTCAAAGCAGGGACTAGGAACAGAACAGAAAAGTCAGCAGCTTTCACTTCAGCATATTTAATTAAAACAAAATTAATTAAAAGCAACACCACAAATTGGCTATTTAGAAGCTAACTCCGGGTTGTTGTTTGTGGGTTTTAGCAGCCAGCTGTTGTCCAGTACCAGCCTAATTTCACCTCAGCTACTACTCTTATAGCATGACTGGATAAAAAATACAAGGAGTGTATGTGCCAAGCTAGGTCTTGGATGGGAATGTAAAAATGTGTGCATTTTTGCTTTTCAACTTTCAACTTTTCAACTCTATGTCTGATTCTCCCACTGGCTTTGGTTGTTTTCTCTTGTTTCTTGTTGGCATGCTGAATTACTTCTCCAGTGCTCCTCTGTTTATATGTGGCCCTAAGTTTTTATATAATGTTACACATGCTGGAAGTGGAAATTTGCTGCAACACAGCAACACTGTTTTCATCTGTGAATATTCTCCTCGGCAGTGACAACCTCTTCCTCCTCCCTGCACCGTAGTCCCTCCGAAGTGTATTTGGGTTCATTTAATTTCAATAGTTTTCTTTGCATTCTTTTATCTATCAGATTATTGTCTTGTAGTTGTTGATTTAACCACTTGATTTTGAGGAGGATGTTTTGATTAAGCTGATTGATTTTGCACTCCCAAGTGGACAAAGAGCTCTTCAGTGACTGCTTGGTCACTTTTAAGATTGTTTTTGTCTTGCTGGTGATATGAAAAGGTATATTATCACTAGCATAGAACTTCTGACAACACAAAACATCTAAAACAGTGTTGATATTCAGACTGGTTGGCAATAAATGGTTATTGCTCTTTATAAATCCTCTGGACTTGGAACATTTTAAATGTTTACCTGCATAACCTCCACAACGGCAACCAGGTCAGCCAATGAGATGTTATCTCCTGCAATGAATGGCTTGTCCTGAATAAACTTTTCCTCCAGGAGTTTCAAGGATCCATTTAAGTCCTCCAAGGCTGAATCCAACTTGTCCTGTGGGACATCCACGCCCAGAATCTTGGGAATCAAAAGCTACAGCACAAACATAAGAATCTCAATTAGAATCACCTGCAAGTGCTGGTTACTATCCAACTACGTATTTATTAATAGTTTCATTTTTGCCATTTTTCTCCACTCACCCCAACCAGTCAAGGCAGATGACCGCCCACATTGGGTCTGGTTCTGAACACATTGCTTTCTCCTTTAGTCTAACAGCCTTATTTCTTTCATTCAGCACAAGCTCAATGAATGATGGCACATGTTGCTCTGTTAGTGACTATAAATTGTACAGTACTTTTCACGATCTATTGTGGGATACAATTAGTCAACTATAGAGTATTCAAATGTTCTCATTAAGCGCTACAAAATGGCTAGCTCACTATATAGTTTACTTTGTCATGAGTAGTGAGAGATATTTTGGTGATAATACAAAATAAACATTTTCAGGAGGAGATAATACAAACTGATATAAGGTCTGAGAAAATTATCTTTTCCTGGAAAACAATGAAGGTAAGCAGAAAATATGCAGCATTAAATTGATCACTTCACAAAACAGCCTGAGGGTATCACAGGACAGAGGGTTCAGCTTGTGAGTGCATGGTCTCCTTGTTCTCTCTTCTCGTCCTGGCCAGAACATTACTTTTTCCTTACACTCATTTAGTGTGGATCATGATGGTCACATGCCTTCTGTGTGACCATGTCCCACTGTTTTTATGACTGTTAACTTTTGAGTTTCCTAATTATGTAAAGTATCTTCAAATAATGGTAAATTTATAGCACTTTTCTGTTCTTGATGACCACTCAAAGCACTCTACAGTACAGTTTTGCCTTTCGCCCATTGACACAGTGCTTCTATGTGTCGAGAACAGCACAGACGTCTGGGGCAATTTGGGGTTCAGTTGGGGTAGGATTGGATTACTGTCCACTGAAGTGTCGTGGAAGTAGAGCATCATTTTCAGGATGTTCACAGAAAGCAGTGATCACAGTTATGCCCATCCTGATGGGGTGTGAAAAGAAAATGACACAATACAAGATAACTTTTTTGAAAACCAGTTTACAGCTTGTTTCCAGTAAGAGTGTATTGTTCTGTTTCATTGTGTTGGGATCAGTAACAGTGAATGGTGAAAACATGCCCAAATATATAAAAGGCAATAGGAAGCATAAGGAAACCTAGAGCTGCTAATGGAGCACTGCCCTTATATAAAGTACGTCCTCCAGCTGACCTTACTTCTTCACAGCTGGAGGGAAAAGCTCACACACAGTAAATGACCATACCTTGAGCCAGAACACCTTGGATCCATGCAGACGCACAGTTGTGTGCTGCCATGACAGATACTCGTTGATGCGAGCACGTTGGTGGAGGTCAGCTGGGTACCAGAAATCTGGAGTCTTAAACTTCTCTGCCAGATACAGCAGGATGGCAATGCTGCAGAGGCAAACACCACTGATGAGCACCACATGGGCCTCACATACAGGACATATTACCAATGAATGTTTGAAATATCACCTCTCAGCCAGGCAGAAGTCTCCGTCTCGCAGAGCAGGGACTTTTCTTATTAAGTTGATCTTCCCAAATTCTTCTCCATACTGCTCACCTGAAACCAAATAACTATGATCAGATATTCCCTGATGTAAATTTTCTGTCGGTTCAGTCTATTGACCTCGTTGATCTATTGACAGGGTTCTTGGTGGTGTGTGGCCTGTTTCTGTGGCCTGTGAAATCAGTTACTGGGGAGAAAAAAAGTTAACAAGGATAGTGGCTTCTGTCCAACTTCTCTGGAGTGGACCCGGGCGTGGACATTCCTCATTTCTGTGTGTGTGAACAAGAACTTACCGTCCAGCAGAGACAGCTTCTTGAACTCAAAGGGGATGTTGTTCTTTGAGGCGAATATGTAGACGGAGCGGCAGGGCTGAGAGTACAAGTCCAGGTACAGCTCAATGTCCATGACTGCTCTTCAACACTGTTCCTTCTGCTGTCTGTCTGTTGCACTGACACACCACTACAAGATAGTCTTAGGCAACAAAGATCAGTTGTTTGACCAAGATACTTAACCCCCCTCCTGCTCCCAAGACACATGTTAAACACATTTGAGGAACTGGTGGTTTAACATTAGTGCAGTGCCCATTCTACACATGCCAGACAGAGATTCCTTGAGTTATTAGAACTATCTCTGTTTCCACAATCCTTTTTCGAAATTGTAAATAATAAATGTTTATTGTGATTTTAAAAATGATACTTCTTTAATACACTGCAGAGCCTTTACTTCAGAATCCTTCCTTGTCATTTGTGAAAACAGTTATACAATATACTGACACTGTTTTACTGGTTCAGCTTGATTTATAGTATTGCAGCAAGAAAATGAATGTTGTGCTTTTATTTTGTAGACAAATTGTTTAAGAAGGGATTGTATGAATTTTGCTGCCATGACAGAGATCATCAAGATAGTATATCTGTAGCTGTAGTTTATCCGAAGATGCAGAAGACAAAACATTCAACTCAGTCCACAGAATGAAGACACACTGCCCCACCTCCACTGACTATACAGTAATGGTCGCTTGTTTATTAAATTTGTGTCAATTATTATTGCACGTCCAAAACACACCAAACTCAATTATACTGCTTTACAATTTTACAGTGCTCTTTCTCAGACCATTTACGATACACATGCCAAGAGTGAAGCCAATAAGATGATAAGTTTACGAGATATGGGTTCCACATACACACAGACAGACGTTTGTGGAGTAAGAGTAAGTAAGTAAAACTGATAATATAGTCTTATAGAACAGTGTGAAAATGTCTTGATCTTTCATCAGCCTATCACAAACCAATCTTTTCTGCAATAGATAGTGTTTATATTTATCTTCTCTGTGTATACAACACTTCTTGTGATACAAGAAATTAAGTACAAACTTTTACAAAAACAAAGATAAACCAACAAATAGATGTGTGAGGTTCTTATTCAAGCTACAATAACTCACAGTAATGTACTTTTAGTCCTTCATGTGTTGAAGATTGTTAGAAATAGGAGCATTCAGAGGGGGGAACAGTAAGCTGGGGACTTCCCTTACAGACAGGAGAAATAGTAGTAGAGGAGTGAAAGCTCTTGCTCCATGTCTGTACTCTCTGATGTGTCTCAAAGCAGTGTGGAAGTTGAAACAATAACATGGTGGTATAGAACACTGGGTCGAAGGTGAAAGACTTGCATCTGAGGTCTTTAATTCTCAGACTTCTATTTGTTCCTGCTGAAATGAGGGCTTAGGTAATGTTTTAAAAATGATATGTCATTAAATGCACTGATTACATTATTATGTCGTGGTCCTGGGAATAAATTGTACAAGTACAACTAATACAATAATAATACTAATATTTAGTCATGCAGGTCTTATATACTGCAATCATTTATAAAAAAAATCTATCTAACTTGGTCTGGTTTATCTGTGGATTCTATTTTTTTATTGTCAAAAAGGAGAATTTTCAAATGGCACCAAACTCTGAAGCAAAGCATGTTACAAGGCACACAGGTAAAACTTCGATCCCATTAACAAACAAGTTCAAGATCTTAATCTGGCTGGGTCACACTGACGGAATAAGAGGAATGGTTTCATATGGTTGTGGAGCAATTTATGTATTGAGAAGTTTCTAGTTATATATATGGAAGTAGAATAATGACAGGAAGTTCTTTTCTGTATAGTCAAACAGTTTGTATGAGACACTGCAGCCACACTGCACTCTGTCCCCTGTATCACACATTTGAACCCCAGTCCCATCAGCTGCACTACAACAGATAATGTAACATTGTCAGATCAATCAATCAATCAATCAATCAATCAATCAATCAAATGTATTTATATAGCACGGTATCACAACAAACAGTTGTCTCAGGGTGCTGCACAAAAGTCCAAGATCTTAAAAAAGACAAAATCCAACTTGTTCCACTCTGAGCAAGCATGAGCAACAGCGGGGAGGAAAAACTCCCAGGTGGAAGAAACCTCCGGCAGAGCCGGGCTCGGTGTGGACGGCCTCTGCCAGGACCGGTTGGGGTGAGTGGAGGAAAAAAATAGATCACATCTTATCATTTTCATGATGAGCCAATCCTCCATAACTAAGAGCAGCCATAGTAAGTCTGTTTTCTATCAACAGCCAAGGTGTTTCCCGGTGTTTTTCACATGTCACAGTATGTGTGAATCATGAAATGAATGAATGCTGGATTCCTGTAGCTGCCTCAGTGTCAGATCCTTGGCATTAGGCATATTGGGTCACAGTCATGTCTTCATTATTTAGTTAATGATTTTCCTGCTTTTTTCCTTCAAAAAACAACCAAATATGTCACAAGCACGCAGCTTTGGTGCACATGTGCTGCTGCTCCACTCCAGTAGGTAGAGCTCTGCTCAACCCGCACAAAAGGCAAAGAAGATCACCCGTTAAGTCTCGCGACATTTGTGAACGTCGCAAGGTCAATTGCGTGTACGTGAGCTGCCGGCCTGCGGCTGACAGACACTCAGCGGTGACCCGAGCAGAGAGCGACGTCACTACAGGACCGCATTTTGCAGAAGTTCACCGGTACGAGCTGCACTGATAAACGCGGTTGGTGTGAGACATGGCCAGAGGAAGCCGCAGCCGACCCTCAGCTCAAGCGAGGTAACACACTCTCCAGCCGCCTCAAGGGACACAGTCCTGGGGCTCACACGCTGTACCCCTGCGGCATTCAAGAAGCTCATGTGACCTGTTGTAAGCGAGAGAACACGTCCCGTACTGACACGTCACTGGAGGAGTTTATCTGACCATTGATATTTAAATCAATATAGCAGTGTGATGCAGCGTAATGTGTAATTATTGTTGCGTCATAAGTCATTGAGACCATGTGAGGTAAGAGTCCCCGCGGCAGACATGAGAGTGCATCTATCCCTTGACCTCGACGGAAAACCTCACGAGGTTATAGAGATATTTAAAGGAGAAGCTCTTAGGTGCATCACACTGCGAGGTTCTAAACCACCTGCATTTATAAGAGAAGATACGCACTATACTGTGCTCTGTGCTGGAGGCTGAGCGCATTCACTACAGATATTTATTCAAAATAAAACTAATAGAATTGAAATGTTGAAATAGTATAATGTGTTAGGAATATACTTGGAGAGCACCATATCTAAATATGGAGAAATAATTGATTGTGTCCATTTCACAACTGGGGGATTGGATGACTTTTATATTTTTATTCAGTTCTGAAGATAATATTGTAAAAGGTTAATATGCTTGTTGTTCACTGTGACGCTTGACTGGACATGTGTGACAGGAGGTCAGACAAATGTCAGGAGAATAAAACTGTTCTATTTTTTTACATTTCGATGGGTATGCCCGGGTGACACTGACTGATATTACACGTGCCAAGTGGAGTTAAATGTTATTATTTCAGCTCAGTAATTATGACAAAAAAGGTGCAAAAACAATTTTGAGATTGTATGTGCCCCAGTTACGTACATACTGGGGTGTAAACAGCAAGCAGAGTCTAAGAGCCAGGGACCCTGCAGACATGAGTGTCAGAAAATGTGTGGGGGGTTTGTTGTTCACTTATGCTTATGAATATTGCTGCAGGAGATTTTCCATTTAGACGGTTTTACAACACAGAAACCTCTGGAGTGTCCAGATGAGGGGGGTGGGGGGGCGTAGCTGCAGAGACGGGATGTAAAGTATACATAATGTGTTTTAGTTTACAGCAAATCAAGAGTGTCAATGAGGCGGAACTGTTACCAGCAGTTTTGGCAATGCTTTGCATTCACAGCTGGTTGGTGTTTAGTCATGCCGTGACAAACTGGTGAAAGTGGCGACTCGCAAATTATTCGGTGCTACAGGGTCTGCGTTTTTCTAACTGAGGCTATTATTGGGCACATTTCTGCACACTGTGCAAAGTGCATGTCCAGAGCGTGACTGTGCACATCTGGCATTTCAGTAACAGGATGTGCCTGGCACATCTGGAAATGGGGAGAGATTGAGGTGTAGTAGGTGTGTTAGCGCTGGGACAACCAGACATAGCCAATCATAACCTAATTCTCTGATACTCACAACTACAGTCAAGACTGTGCGTGTGTTCGTCAGTGTTGCAAGTGTCGGTTATATGTGGGGCAAATTATATGTAATATTTTAATACTACAACAACTATTTACTGAAAAATTAGGTAAACATTCTCTTAACTGAGGTTTAAGTGAACATAATATTGCTTGTTAAATAGCACAATGCAGAGTGAGACAGAATGTAATTTTTAGGTGACACAGTTTACCCAGACTCAAGTGTAATGTTGGTCCTATTGAAGTTAAGCCACACTGACTCAGTGGAAGTGTTATAGATAATGTTTCTTCATTAGACAGTCATCTTATCTACTTGGCTCTGTTTGAATAACTGATCCTGTCACCCAAACATGTCGAATGGCTTAATGTACAAGAAAATTTTCTTTTTTGTTTGTAGCCCAGCTCCATCTTATGCTCCTGCTCCAGCTCATCCGCCTCCTGCCTCCCTGGCCCCGGCTCCTGCTCAGTCCCAGGGACCTGGTCTCATGGCCCAGATGGCTACTACAGCTGCAGGGGTGGCCGTAGGCTCGGCTGTGGGCCACGTTGTTGGCAGCGCTCTCACAGGAGCTTTCAGTGGCAGCAGCAGCAGCAGCAGCAGCAGCAGTCAAGAGCCCGCCAAGTCCTCATACCAGGTGAGAGGTTGAGAGGACAAACAAGGGTTTCACCTAGTAGCTAAAAAACTATATGAAGACATTCTGAATGTGAATTAGGAACATGAGTGTTTGAGTTGTGACCAGTAGCTGCCTACAGAGGCCGACCTCCATCACCAAACCTGTCTGCTGCTTTTCAGCCACTCTGTTGGTGCTGATGTGAGACTAACTCAGATATCTGTTGATACCACTGCAGGACCCCCCCCGGCCTGCTCCAGCCCAGCCAGGTCCCTGTCACTTTGAGGTCAAACAGTTTCTGGACTGTGCCACCAATCAAAGTGACCTGACTTTATGTGAGGGTTTCAACGAGGCACTCAAACAGTGCAAGTACTCCCATGGTAAGTCTGTGGTGAATGATAGCTGCAGCTACACAACACAATTTTTGAGGTTTAAACAGGTTAAACAGGTTAGCCTAGGGGATTATACTAATTCACAGCCTTCATATTCACTCTGTCATTGTGGCTGGTGAATTTACATAGAGGTGCAGATACCAGTGCTCACACACACATACACACCTGGTATTAATGTGGTTTTTGTGATCCGATCACAAGTGGACTGCTAGTACAGGTGTGAATGCACTCAGATCAGATCACGATCCGATCACACCAGACCACATTCGGAGGTGGTCTGGGCCCCACGTGTCCACATTCTTTAAACAGTGTGAACATGAATGCGTCCTGGGCCACATATGAAGGACCGCCTACTCAAGAGACATCTTCTGACCCGCTACGGTTTCACTATGAGCTTAACCTATTTTTACTCCTATCTGTGCCCATTAGGGCTGTCAAAGAATATTCTAAATTCGAATATATATTCGAATATTAAAATAAAACAGATATTCGATTGTGAAAATTAATATTCGGCTGTGAAAATTAATATTCGGCTGTGAAAATTAATATTCGACTGTGGAAAAGAACTCAGCGGCTGCTTTGCGAGTGGGGCGCACTGCATGACAGGTCAGGCCACAGGAGTTGCACTTGCACAGCGTCACTCACTGCTGAAAGTGAGACGCGACCTGGGTTTCCAGGCGGGTAGATACAAATTTGGGCTGGAAACACGGGCACTTCAAATCCTTCTTCCTGCGACCCTCTGTTCGTCTCACTCACTCATTCACTCACATACACACCCACTGTCTTTTTTTACAGTCTAAGTTTTACAGTTAGTTCATTTACTTATTTTGTAATGTGTAGGTATGTTTTATTTTAAAACTGAAATAAAAATACCTATAAAAGTAGTTATGTCTCGTTGTATTAGTTTGTCCTCCTGTTATTGACATAATGCGCATTGCGCATGCACATGTATTTGAATGGTTCGAACCTATGTGTATTTTTAGAGCAAATATTCGAACGTCATTTTGGAGTAATTTTGACAGCCCTAGTGCCCATACGTGGAGTTTTTAATGGCCATCGCCAAAATACCAACACTGACCACGACATTGTGAATGATTCTTTTCTTAAATGGTGAAATCTTTCTTCACTGCAGCTGCACGAGATTCATTCAGTGCCTACTGACTCCTCTCTCTCATGCCAATACACAGTGACATCAGACACATCTGTAAACTCTGTCAAAACATCATAATTTGGTTTTAATTAACACAGACACGTTTATTTGCATGGATAGCGGGCAATTGAGATCCAATCACAAGTGGTCACAGGAGACACTTTTAGGACTTATGGGGGGGTGGGTTTCGGATTCATTCATCCTGGGAATAACAGAGATTAACAAACAAACATGAATATAATATATGTTAATGTTTTTTTCCTGCTTCTCTGTAGGTATGACTTCACTGGTGTGAAGGATGTATGTCAGCTGCCATGACCAACAGATTTTAGTCATGAGAGATGCCACAGAAACACACACACACATCTGAATGCCGCTCCTCAGGCCATCGGCATGGTGGTTCTGTTTGCTTTGTTGATCGATGTGAAATATTTTTACATAATGTACAGTGACCTACATTTAATAAACAGCTGTTATCTTTTTCTGTTAATATGAAGTGTCTGTTTCTCTGTTACACCTTTTTTTAAACACAAACAGCGACAGCCAGTGGCCTCAAGGCGTATCTCCTGAACACCTTGAAGGAATTCTTTCACATTGGCACCAACATTCACTTAAACTTCACAAAGTATGTTTATGTTTCACTTGATCATGATATTTGAAGATCAGCTTGAGGGAGTATCTTCAAAATTGGTACAAACATTCACTTGGACTCAAAGTGAAAGGTCAAGGTCAGAGTGATCTTACGTTCTTGTCAATGTGATATATTAGGACTGCCAGTAGAGAATTGAATTACGTTCGGCACAATTCACTTTGACTCATGGATGACCTGATTAGAATTTGGTGGTCAATGATCACTGTGACCTCTCAAGGACATGTTGTGCCTTGTGAATGTAATATCCCAGGAACATCTCAAGGGAATTCTTTCAAATATGGCACACATGTTCACTTGGTCTTGGTGGTCAAAAGTCAAGGTCACAGTGGCCTCAAATAAAAAGGTTTTTGGCCTCTTGAATGTGACATCTCAAGAATGCCTGAGGGAATTTCTTTAACTTCTTTCTTTAAATCACTTGTCACTTGGACTCAAAGATGAAGTAATTCAATTTCATGGATCAAAGGTCACAGTGACCTTATATGAATCTTTGGAATAAACAATTTAGAAATATGTACATAGTCATTTTGAGATAAAAAGTCTAATACTGGGCCAGATACTGAGTATAGACTTTTCCAACACGTATACTCTGCTGCTACTTGAGTCTCACTAGTTGGTCAAAAGAATTCACTGGAGATGGTCAGAGTTCAATGCAGTAGAGTTTATTCTTTTACAAGATGTAAACACGAGCTGGCTCCGGAACCCAACTGAAGACTGAGGTTCAAACCAATCAGGAGGTGGATCTCTCCACCTCCTGATTGGTTCAAAACTTCTGATTCGTCCCGAACCTAATGGTGTCATACTTTCTCAAGTTAACTTTGTCTCCCCCCTACAGTTATGCTCAATTCTAATGGTGTATTAGAGCAACAGTTGTTGGCCCAATTTTGACATTATTATAAATTTCATCATTTAAGTTTCGGAGGCATCTGATTCAGGCCTTATTCGATTTTGGAGGTCCTGACCTTATACTCCATTAGATTCAGGCGATGTCTAACTGCTTTTTTTTAAATGATTGCATTTCCACACGGTAAAAATATGTTCAACAAACAACCATTCCAGACATGATTATGTAAGGGCGCATACATGATTACATTTCTTTATGCTGGATATATGGCGCTGTCTTGGGAAAGCGTACAGTTGCAACCAGAAATCTGTTTTACATGGGCTTGACCTGTGCTGTCATTCCCTTAGAATGACACAGATGACATACAGCTGTAACATTATTAACCTGCCTAGCAACTAATTACAATTTTCCTTCCAATGGAGACTCTCCCTGTGTCTGCTGCTAATTAGACATTGCCCCAGGCTGCATACAGTTCCTGGTGCTCTTTGTACACAGACACACAGTTAAAGCACATAAGCACACAAAGGATAGATACATACAGAATTGTCTACAACAGTAACTGCACTGGATGGTGCATACAACCGCAGTGATTCTAGTTGTTATTTTGCTTAATGATTTCCACCACAGCATGGTTCTGATTATACTCAGATAAACAAGGACTTTTACCTGTACGTGAGTATTTTACACTATGGTGTTACTTTAAGGTTTCTTCATGTACTTTATTTGCCAGTTATATCCATATAACGAATGAAGGGACCCTGCAGGCTTCATAGGGGGTGCTACAGCGTCCGGTTGTGCTTTCAAAATAAAAGGTTGGGTAGTTACACTGAATGCATGCAAAAATCTACCATCCAAAAGAAGAAAATATGAATCCGATTTCTATAGAAAATCAATATAACAAGCAGCGGCAACAGGTTGGTTTAATCCTGACAAACGCAACACGTGTATTTTGAAATTGTCAACCGGAAGAAGTACTATCCGTCATTGTATATGAATCATCGGTTTTTCTGGTCTGCAGACCTCGTCCTCACACTGAGCCGGGAGCGTTGAGAAATATCTACCAGTATTAAAGATGCCTTTTGTCGAGCTCCAGACTAACCTGCCGGTCAGCTCCTTCCCCGAGGACTTCACGATGAAGTTGTGCAGCAGCACCGCAGCAGCTCTGGGAAAACCTCTGGACGTGAGTTACGTTTCCACCTCTGTCCTTTTTATTAGTGGAACTACTTGGGGTGGAGGGAGTCCTCACATGTACGTGGCTCTCAGTGCCCGTTGCTTTAAAGCGTGTGTCTGACGCCTGTTGCTGATGACAAACGCAATTTCCAGTTCGGGACATAGCGAACCAAAACCAACATGGACCGCAGGATAGCTGTCAATAAAAATGCTACAGGGAGGTATGCTGGAAATAAATTCCACAGCTAGACAAACACACCCAGCTTCATTTAATTTAATTGTCCCAGTCATTGTACAGTTAAAAGAGACGATGTGAGGAGAAACGCCATGAAGAGAAATATAAATGAAATGAGAGACTATAACTAAAATACAACTATGTCCTTACAGCCGTACCGTAAAGGCACAAAAGACGCGCAACAACACATGGCTTCACCGTGCATCTCACACATGACGGCTCACTTTACTTCAGTAAACTGCTGGTACAGGTTGTTGTCAATTCTCCGGATTTTACTTGGAGGTCATGTCTGAAAGCGGTTGCCACATTCTAAGCGAATGAGCAGCGTTTCCATTGAAGCCTTCAATGCATATAGCCGTTTTCAGACGTGACCTGCGGACAAAGTCTGGAGAATTCACACATGCATGCTCACACATTGACTCCTCCTGGATTTCTAAGGACTTTACACTCGGAGGCCTGGCAGATAAAGTCCATGGAAACTGCGGAGCGTCTCCCTCGGACATTTGCGTTCACACATGCACTTCCCCTGGTGAAAATAAGGACAAACTGCAGAGTCTCCTGCATGTCTGAAAGCAGTTAAAGTTAGTTATAATTTTTGTGTGTTAGTAAGAACCAATCGCTGGATGCAATGCGTTTCCTCTTCCTCCCACTGTACAAAAATGAATCCAAGATATCCCAAATATGGGGAAACTGCCCTTGTGCTGGTGAGGCTAATTGGAGACACCATTTGGACAGAAGTGAATGAAAAGTGGAGCCACAATATCAAAGCCCCGCCAATGCACCTATCTCCACCAATTGTGAGTCAATCTGAGCTGTCAATCATGAACCCTCGCCTTGCTGTTATAGCATCCAATAAGTAATTAAAGCCAAACTTATCAGAAAAAGGAAAACTTGAACATACAAACGCTCCAGAGTTTATGAGGATGCATTTAAACATCATGAAAAATGAGCCATCGACATTTTTTTCGCTCAGTACAACATGAGATGTGACGTGCACAGTCAGTATTAAAGTGACCGGAGTGACACGGATTCAAGATCCAACCCCATAGATTGATAACTAAATACATGATAAGAAGTTTGTCATCTAAATCATACTTTCTCAACCATTGGCCCCCAGCCCATTTGTGGGCTGTGAGTGCCCTCTAGTCATGAAATGTTTTCAATTTGATACTAGTGGGCGAATGCAAACAGGTGAGCGAATGCAAACAGGTGAGCGAATGCAAACCATTGGTCTGTAGTGTGTGGAGTGATGGAAAAGTTCCTCAAGCGGTAAAACGCTAACACTAACACTACTAATCTATCAAAAAACATCAAATATGTACGTGCTCCACTACATTAGCCTGCCAAGGAATATAAGATCAGCAAGGCCTTCTCTGCTGACAGTCTGACCACTCTTACCCAGTTGTTGCAATCCAGAAATGCTATGAGCACCTCAGAGTCTTGCCCTTAACTCCTTCAACCTCTACCCCTTATTGGGTCAGACATACCCCACCTGTTAATCTGAACTCGACCGGTGCACGCAGGCCCTCCAAGGACACACTGGGCTTGGAAAAATGCTGCCTGCAGAACAAACATGTCTCCACCTCACTACTGATTCCCCATCAACAGTTCTCTTTAGGAATCTGGATCGCCTTTGGCAAGTAGCGCCACTACCTTACATAAGTAAGAAGGTTGCTACCCATTCTAATCAGGACCAGCAAGCCACTGCCCTACTCCAGAAGGCCTCCACCAGGGGGGCTTGATGGCACACTGCGTTACGCTACTGTACTCTTCTTGCAGACCCCAGCAGTTACACCATGTGCTCCTAAAGAAGCGGTTCTACCAAGCCTACACAGCACTATAAGGAGTCTCAAGGACCCTGATCATGCAGATTTCTATTGCAAGGAGATCCGAAGATTTGAGCAGGCTGGCTATTTGGCAAGATATCCTTCTGGCAAGGTTTCGGCAAAATACAAAGTATCTCCCGGAAGAGGTCATCCAGTTTTAAAAATGTAGGAGTCTGGAGAAATGCATTAGCAAACAAATGATCTCAAATCAGTTCATTTTCCATCTATCCAAAAAGGCACATGGCGTAGCTAACAATCTCAAAGCACCCATACTGGGTTGCAGTCTCATCAGCACTTTGAAGATGTCTGAATGTGTGTCTTCAAGCTAAAGTTCACTTTTGGGACAAAGTACTTTTCAAGCGCATTCATGGCTACATCAAATATTTTACCTTTTTCTGGAAGAGTGTAGAATAGCTGTTGTCCCTCGGGTCTCAAGCAATGTAGTAAGACTCCACATCACCTTGCATCTGGCCATGTTTCTCCTCTCGCATTCATCAATAGCATTTTATCAAAGATTTTCCACCATGTTTCAAATAGATTTGGCGGCTAAACAACATGATGAAGGATGGTGGACTTGGACTGGAATGCAAATCCTCATTGCAATCCTCAATTTGTTTAGCGTGAGCCCAGCATAGGAGACAAGCATATGGTTCTTGAACTGTTATGTGCTTTATTTAGCAACTGCTAACAATGCTGACATGGCTTCATGTTTCCCTTACAAACCCATTCTGCTTCTCTCTCGTAACCTGTACTCTCTACCTACTGTACCTCCTTCTTCTATTCTCTCTATAGTCTCACAGTGACACTTACTGGTAAGGGGTGTAACAGCAGTAGGAAAGCACAGCATAAGCGTTCACATGAAATCCTCTCTGTTTGTAAACACGACACTCATATCATCAGCTCTGAACACAAAATATTGTAGACTGGGAGTAACCTGACAGTATAATGAGACACTTTTAATAGAGGTGTATGTTAAAGACTAGTTCTGCCCACTAAAAGTCAATGTGATGCATCAGTCGATTAGACCCCAAGTCAACCCCAATCTGTTGACTAACTTCACTTGTTTTTAATTGCATCACTACAAAAGACCAGCAGTGTGATAGGTTATTAACTTCATAAACCATCTTGTCTCAAAGTGAAACACAAAAATATCTGATGGACACAGATGACAATATGATGCTGGGCAGCTGAGGCAGGGTAGGATGACACATTATGTGGTGGTTTCTCTGACACAGCTCCAGTGCTGACCTCTCAGACAGATGCTGGTATGATCTACTTTCCCACCATCCAGTGTAACTGTTACTGAATCGAAATGGAGACTGTTGTGAAACAACTTAACTTAGATTTACGTCTATACCTTAAGCTGAAATAAGAGTTCAGATGTTGATTCAAGGCTGGTTGGTTGGCTTGATATGCAGGAGAATTAACTCAAACTTGGCATTTCTATGTGTAATTTGTGCTCAATCGCCTGTTCTGATGATCAATGTTATACTGACTCAGCCTCACTAATGTTGTTGGGGTGGTTGTCTTTCAGAGGATGAATGTGGTGGTGAATCCTGGGCTACCAATGCTGATGGCAGGCTCTTGCTCTCCATGCCTGATCCTGTCAGTGTCTGCCATCGGTGTGACTGACTCCGCTGAGAAGAACAAGGAGCACAGTGCCAAGATCTTTGAGTTCCTGACCAAAGAACTTGGTCTGACTGAAGACAGGTCAGCTCTGCCTCCAAACACACTGCGTCATCAGGTTATTTTAGTGCAGTAAAAGCACAGTCTGCACATGTTTGAGAGCTGCCACAAAACTAACACAAACCTTGTTCTGAAAAAAGACAAGTAACTAAACTAAATGACACTAGTCATAACTTCAACAAGCTGTTTGGCTGTATACCTAAGAATCATTATTATTCCATTTTTGATTCTGTATTTAGCACATTTTTAAACAAGGTCTAGCAAACAAGGCTACTGAAGACAGTACATCCTCAGAGTCTCATCGCAGAGCACACAGTTGTTTAAATATTAGTCAATCAATTGTATGTCAGAGAACAGACTGTGTAAGGGAGATTTCACAGCTGACCTGTTAACTTTCATTTTGTTTGGCCTGGTGTGAAAGCTATAAGGCGTACTTTGGTGTAGAGTTAACAATGGATTGAGAATGAGGGTCTCTCACCGTCAATCACCATCTTTCCTTGGTCAAGATCAAGTGAACTTAACCAGGTGTAAAAAGTCTTTGTTATAACTACAAGGTACAGGAGTTAAATTGGACCTCCATTTCCTTCAATGTCACAGTGTTAACAACACACACGCAATCACTTTTTTTAAAACCTGTTTCAGACTGCCTCTCTGACTGTAGAATTTAGCTTTGTGTGTTTTGCTTTCCATTTGTCACAACCCGGCTGTGACAAGGAGGGAGATGACAAATGTTGATGGTTATATCTACAGACATTTATTTAAACAAAACAAGATAGGAATCATAATAGGAACCATTTAGCTGACGTTGACTGGAGAGTAAGGCATACTCCTCAGGGAAACTCTTCTGTTGTGCATGCTGCTGAAAGAACGACTCCTCATAGGATCTCTCAGGGGTGTGAGAAGTTGCATCCAAGGACAAGATGATGTGTTGAGAGGTGCCATCAAATCTTCCCAACACCAGAAGTGGAGGATGTTTGGAAGAACATAAGTTGACCTAACATAAGTAGTGCTACGGACCACAGATTTTCTCAACTCTGTAGCTGCATCCTTAGAAGTTGAGGCTGGATTTAAGGATAAGGATTTTGCCTTTGGTGATATCATCTGCTGAGTTTCTGACTGAATCAATATACATCCAGTCTGAGGCAGTAGCATAATCTCTGTGATGTGATGGCCAACAAATTCACACAGCAGGAGATCTCTGCAACTCCTTTTAGATGGGCCAGGCTGGGAAACATTGTGACTCCAATGTGGAATGATGGAGTACTTGATGCACTGGATTCTTGTGAATGAGTTGGAGGTGGGGGAAAGCTCCGTTGTTGTCCTATTGTTGCAGGGTTAAGGCTGATTCATGCTTCTGCGTTGAAGCTACGCCGTAGGTATGCACGTAGCCTATGCATGTGGCTGACCATTCATATGTGTGTTTGTGAGACACCGCCGAAACGCTAGTGGCGGTAGAATTTTTATGCTGCAGTTGAGTGTTTGGTCACAACAAGTGAAATTACTGCTGTCACCAACCAATATGTCTTTCTTCACCCCCCTCCCCAACTCACTCACAGAGTCCTGTGTCAGAAAAGTTCACCATAGAAACCCATTGATCACCCGGGCCATTTAGTATACATAAGTTGCTTTGCATTTATCATTCAATACATTTTTATTTGCATAGCTCATATTCACAAATCACACTAACAAGATGCAACATCCCTTGTCCTTAACCCTCATCATTTATCATTTATATTTGTGGGTGTGTAGAGGGCAGAATATGTGGCAGTTCCAAGTACGCACATTTCCAGGTGGCCTGTGGCACTTGGTATTGATTAACATCCTTCCCCATCTGATCACAAGTGGACAGCACTAAGTACAGATCACATGTAGCCACAATAAAAAATGTAGAGGCAGAGGCAATGAAGTTAATTCAAGATTCAAGAACTTTATTGTTATTCTAACCAAACAGCAAAACTGTGCAGTGTAGAATGAAATAACGTTTCTCCAGGGCAGTGCAATTTCAATAGTAGCTTAAAAATGTAATCAGTAAATGGTAAGGTTATTAAAACAAGGAGAAACAAGCAATATACAATAAGGAGACCTTTGAGCAAAACATATGGCAGAGTTTAAGTCAAAACAACTGTACAAGTGTCTGGTGCATTTAAAGGTATATTTCTTTAGTGACAATTCAGATAAATAAAATGTACATTTTGTATTTAAAGTGATTGATTATATTATTAACAGGTGACACTTGGTGATAGTCTAGAATGTGGGAATAACAGCAGAGTCAGAAGGGGCAGCTATTTAGCAGTCTGACTGCCTGTGGGAGGAAACTGTTCAACAGCCTTGTTCTTGTTTTAATGCTCCTGTAACGTTTGCCAGATGGCAGAAGAGTGAGCAGCTCGTGGAGGGGGTGTGAAGAGTCTTTGAGGATGACCTGAGCCCCCTGGAAGCAACGGCTCTGTAAGAGTTCTTGTACAGAGGGTAGGGGGCCAACGGTCATCTCCTTGGTTTTAATGGTGCACCAGTTTTCCAGGTGTTTGATCTCCTTCCTGTACCTTGATTCATCATTTTGATGAGCCACTGTGGTGTCATCAGTAAATTTGAGGATGATGTTGTCCCTGAATCTGGCTGTACAGTATACTGCAAACACATGTTAGCAGTGTGAACAGCAGTGGCCTGAGCCAACCCGGACTGACTGTGGTCTCTCCCCGTCAGGAAGTCCAGAATGCAACGACACATGACAGCATGACACATCAGTTTCCCCACTAGTCTCTGCGGAATGATTGTATTGACCTGAAGTACAGGATTCTGGCGTAGCTGTTGTTATTGTCCAGATGAGAGAGAACTATGTGCAGTGTGGTGGCTAAGGCATCCTCACAGAAGCAGTTTGGGCGATAGGCGAACTGCAGGGGATCCAGTGATAAAGGGAGGCTGGCATTAAAGTGAGGTTTAACCAGCTGTCAAAACATTTCATCATCAGGGCCCCATCGCCCTGACCTCCATAGGGCAACAGGGCATTAATCATTTCAGACAGGCTACGACATATTTCTTTGGTACAGGGATGATCGTGGATGTTTTGAAGCATCTGGGTACAACAGCCAGGATAATGGTGGAGTTAAAAATGTCTGCTAACACCTCAGCACATCTCTTGAGTACCCCGGAATGTTATCAGGACCTGCCGCTTTCCATAGGTTGACTATGAAATTGAGGTTTTATGTCATGGAGTGGTTCTGGTATCTGGTATCTGGTTTCCCACAGATACTATGACCCACATCTTTCCCAGACATCTTGCAGTGAGGCCTGAAGCCAGGCCAGGAATGTTGGCCACAAAATGGTAAAGGGTCTGTATTCATATAGCATTTTTCTAGTATTCATGACTACTCACAGCACCTGACTTTATAGTTAAGCCATTCACACACAAATTCATACAGTGCATCTATATGCAGGACTTTCTCTATCATACATCATTCATACACTGCCAGAACAGATTCAGTATCTTGCTAAAGGACACTTCGAAAAAAAGAATAGTGGACGACCCGCTCTTCCTCCTGAGCCACAGCCAGCCCCATGAAACTTTGCTGTGAAAGATCTCACAGGCCGTTACTGCTCATGTAGTCTGAGTTGTGTTCTGTGTTGTTGTCATATTTGAATAAATATTTGACAGTCTTCTCTCATTGACAGGATTGTTATTCAGTTCCACGCACTGCAGCCTCACCAGGTCGGGAAGAAGGGAACTGTGATGAGCTTCTTGTGAAGGATGTTGTTGTTTCTGACACAGGTCACAATCTCAGTCCTAACAGAAGACGAAGTAGACAAAGAAAAATTTGTTTTTATCTCACACTTGAGTAAAGATTGTCACTTTAAAGGCACTTACTGTATTTTCTTTTCATATCCATTGTGTGCCCTGATCATCTGTTCAGAGGTTTGAAACTGAAAATATATTTTCATTAAAAACATGGAGTTTAACTGGACTCTGGACTCAGTTTGTCTCTGTGTGTATCTTGTGGCCTCTGGGAATGAAAACATGTATGAAAAGGCTGTCAGCCATATGTGTAATGCAACAAAGCTGATATTTTACCCTTCAAAACTAGATGAATGGAAATGTTCAAATGAAATCTTATAAACACTTTAATACCTTTTTTATTATTACAGGGCTCCAAACTAACTTTTTACCTTGGTTGCACTGGTGTGCCTAACGTTTTTATTTAATTTTTCAAATATTTATTTATTTATATTCACATATTTTCAAAAAATGTCATGGTGCACTGCAGTAATACACCTTATATACCTTATACTGTATATCTTGACAGTTCCCAATTACATTGGTAATTTCTTAGCTAGGGCTGGGCATCGCAACTAATTTCCCAAATTGATTTGATTTTGATTCAATATAGATTCAGTTAAGGATGTTTTATTGTACAATACCAATTTTGCTTGGATATGTAAGAATTTTTCAGAGACCTGAAGCTGTAAACAGCAAGGAAACCTCTAATTTGGAGCATTGTTCAAAATATTGTGGTAGGACTGTCACTATAACAATATTTGTTGGACGATATATTGTCCCAGACATTATTGCTATTATATTATATTATTGTCATTGTTTTGAAACCACTGCTAAAATGATGGATGAGGTGGTCTTGGTCTGTATGGACTATGGTAGTGGTACAAGGATAAACATAACTGCAGGGACTGAATCAGCATTAGACATTCCACTAGTGTCTTATTCTTTGGCGAGGGTTGGTATCTGGGAGGTTTGGACAACAGGCGGCGAACACTACCCAGTATCATGTATTATGGGAGAAATAGTGGATGTGAAACAAGGTGGTGGAATCCCAAAGTGGATCTGAATCAATGACTAGGATAGACTGTGAAGATATAGATGAAATACATAATCAGGTAAATTCAGCAATCATTATGGCAGCAGAGGGTTCCATACCCAGGACTTAAAATAGGACTAATAGAAAATTGGTACTATGGTGGATAGAGGAGTGTCATCAAGCTATAAAAAACAGGAATAGAGCATTCAGACAAGTTAAAAGAACCCATAACATGCAGCAAATGATTGAATATTAAAAGCTCAGGAGACAATGAGAAGAACAATATGTCAAGCTAAGAGGCCAAGCTGGAGGAAATTTTGCAATAAAATGGGTAGAACAACACCTGTGGGAGAGATGTGTAATGATAAAGATGATGGGAGGAGACAGAAGAGAATGGGAATATCCCATTATTACATCTAATGAAGAAATGGCAGTCTCAAATAATGGTCAAATCATTTGCAAGGATACATAGTTCAGAGAATCTATCAGAAGAAGGGAGGGTGAACAATTATTCAGTAGCCGGGTGTGTTAGACAGGAGAGAAGAAGCAGGTGGATGACAAATAATAACAAATCTCACTCAGAAATGGCGAGAGCAATAAATAAACCTCCAACCTCTCCAGGCAAAGATCAGTTTGTTCTGACATGTTAAAGCATCTAGGGGAGGGGGTATACTTTAAACTGCTGCATCTCTATAACAAATTTTTGGAGGAGGGAAAATTACCTAGTTCATGGAAAGAAGCTGTAGTGATCCTGTAACGATGGGCTCGCAGTTACTAAATACTTTAATTGTGTACCGTCATTAAATCATTTCTTCGAATATGCACAAATACCTTTTTAATAGTTCTTGGAGGGTAAAACTGATAAGGAAGTGGGCAGGGGGAAGTTTATGCAAACTAGGAGATATTTTATGGTATGGTAATGTAAAAGTACAAAAAGCTATTGATGAGGTGGTGGGTTAGGAGTAGGGGTTTAGATTCTCAGTAGAAAAACTTAAACTGTCTTTTTCAGGAAAACAATTGCGAAAGGGTAACAAAGTTAAAAGATTTTTAGGGGGAAGCAGTAGCTCAGTCCATAGAGATTTGGCTTGTGAACTGGACGGTGGCCGATTCAAGTCCAGTATGGACTAAAAAGTATGGACTGGTAGCTGGAGAGGTGCCAGTTCACCTCCTGGGCATGGCTGAGGTGCCCTTGAGCAAGGCACCAAACCCCCAATTGCTCGCAGGGCGCTTCTCCGGGGCTGCCCATCACTCTATCATCTCTCTCCATATATTGCATGTCTATGAGCCCTTTGTGTGTGTGTGTGACTGTGGGAATGGGAACGGGGAGCAAGCTGTTCAGTGATGAGACAAAAGTGTTCAACCTTGTTTTGACCTATGTTGGATTATGACAGTGTAGCGTATGGATCAGCATCCGTATCTTTGTTAAGGAATTAGATGTGACGCAGGCTCTGGCACTGAGAGTGTGTCATAGGGATTTTAAAACATCACCAGTACCTGCCCTGTGGAATTTGGTGAAATGCCAAAAGAATTAAGAAGGAGACAACTGATGTTAAACTATTAGGTTCATTTACACGGGCTCAATTATTCTCATCCTACAAAGGAAGTGTTGCAGGGATGCTGAGAGACTGCAAGATATCAAATGCACAGCTTTAGTTGAGTAGGAAATATGTTTGGGGTGTTTGGGTTGAGGATAAGTCCTTCAGTGGTTTATCCAGTGATGGCTCCGTGGAATAATGTGTGGCCTGAGGTGGACTGGTACTTGCTGCAGTAGAGAAGAACAGAAAATGATAGAGTAGATTTGGTAATTACATTTGACTATCATGTAGTGAAAAGTTATGATTTTGTACTGATTTATCCAGATGGTGCTGAGAAACCTGAGACTGGAGTGACTGGATTTGGGGTGGCAGTACAAAAAAAGGGAATTGGGATCAACAGGAGAACATCCAACAATCAGAGGGTTCACACAGTGGAGATGATAGCAGTGTTGGTCCCATTACAATGGTTGGGAAAAAAACTAATAAGGTGCTTATTTGCTCAGATTCCTGCTCAGTCTTAGAAAGCTTAATGTCCCTCCATTCAAATAGTTGTCAAGATGTACTATATCACCAGCACAAGAAACCAAGGGAGTCAGGTAACAATTGTGTGGGTTCCACATGGAGCATTGGGGTGAAAGGAATGAAAGGGTGGATGAGCTGGCAAAGCAGGCTTTAGATAAAGAAAATATGGAAATGCAAATGAATATTAGTTAGGCAGAGGCAAAAACTATAATTGGGGAAAGAACCAACCAATTGTGGCAAGAAAGGTGGGACAGTGAGGGAAAGGGAGACATCTGTACCAAATTCAAAAGAATGAAATTAAAGTTAAGAGGATAGGTAGTGGATTCAGGAAAGATAAAGCTCTTTTAGCAAGGTTAAGGTTGGGTTACTGAGCACTAAACAAAACACTGAACTCGGTAGGGAAACACTTGACAGGGTTGCGTGAGAAATGTCAGGGAGAGGAGTGAGAGGAGCATGTCATTATGAGTTGTAGGAGGTATGGGACACTAAGAGAGACTATGAGGGATGATTGAGTGAATTAGCGGTGCAGGTATATGGATTATGGGTAAAGAGAGCACAGAATAGGGTGTTGTTCAGTTTCTGAAGGGATACAGGGATTTATCCTTTTATGTGTATATTTTTTTAGGGGTGTAGAATGTAAGCCTTTTTCTCATCCACAGAGCAGAAGGTGGCGGTAATGCACCATTAAACTGGATGCCAGCCGCCGTAAAACAAGAAGAAGAAGAAAACAATGAGAAAGCTTCCGGACAGTGATCACGTCAACACTCCACATCCTGGCTGTCTGGGCTTTTCTACATTATCTTAAGAACAATTTAGTGACGTACTTCTGGTCGGACAGCGACCCCACTCTTCATACCAGCGTCGTCTGAAAGACAAGGGGTCATCTCTATCTACGAGGCCGCGCAGTGACCATGTCAGCGGCCGTGGACTTCCATTCTAAGATCGCCTCCATCATGGAGGTTCTGGCAAACGCGGCCGTTGCTGAAATCTGTAAAGTTGTGGACGACGGGTACGTGGTGGTTCACCTGGAAATGTCCCGGAGCCAGAAGGAGAACGAGTTCCTGCGGAGGAAGATCAAACTGCTGGAGCTGCAGATCGCCCGCTACCGAGCGGAGAGAGTGAGGGGAGCGGAGGCGTCCATCAACAGCCGCTTCCCCGGAGTCCGCCTCCTCAACCGGCAGAGCAAGGACTCACCGGCCGGTAAGTTACCACAGCACCTCGCTCCACCTGTTCACACCGAGTGATCTATGAATCCAGCACTTTGTGTGTACGTCCACGTGCCTATTTGTGTGTAGCCGTTTTCATACATGGCGGATGTTGGCAGAATTTGGTCCTGACTTTTTCCCGAGTTTCCCTGTCAAACATGATCAACCAAGACGCATTCACAACAGCACAGACGTTTTCTGGAAATGTCCGCGAGAGTTTTCCTTTCTTTTTCATCAGCACCTCATATTGGCCATTTGGAGCCAGGCTGAGCTTGACATGACCATGCTTGGAGGAAAAAGGGGGAGCTGGGTCCGACCGCTGAACTCTTAACCCGAGGAGTGTATACAAATAAAGACCCTGGCAGCAAAACATCCAACATCCACAGCCCAGGCTGGGGTTTTCTGTGGCTGGGCTGAGGGGGTAGTGCGGTCGTCCTCTAACCAGAAGATTGGCGGTCTGATCCTAGTCTTTCCCATCTGCATGCAGAAGGAAGGGTCCTTAGTAGAGATACTGAAGCCCAAATTGCCCCTCATAGATTAAAAAAAGTGCTGTCCATAGATGTACTGTATGAAGGTGTGTGTGAAAGGCAAAGCTGTACTGTAAAACGCTTTGAGTAGTGATCAAGACTAGCAAAGTGCTGTATAAATACAAACCATTTACCATTTTCCAACACAGCTTCACTACGTAACTACATCGACTTACACACAACGTTTTACCTGATTAACTTAAGACATACAGCAGGTAATCACAACACAGAAAGTTAATGCTGCTGTTAAGTCACACATAAGTAGTAAACATTATGTTAAAGTGAACTATCACCACATCCTCATGGACTTTTAATAACTCCCATTAATGCAGGTCACATTATTTAAATTGAGTCGCCTGTGGCAGAAACGAAACAAACATGGTCATGCTAATGTTAGTTATATTTACTGTACCTTTTTATCGAGCTTAACTTTAACACCTGGCTAACACAGGTGTGCAGCTGTGAGGGAACTGATAGGCCCAGCATTGCAAAGCAATCGGCTAACTAGCTAGCTTAGTTAACCTCGTAATTCACATTCACTGGAACAGTTACTGGCATGCTAACACGTTCCTCATCTTCAGTCAGAACACATAGAAACACATCGTAACTTTAGTGGAGCACAGAGAACACATGTGAAGATAAAGCATTAACAAAACAACGAGTTTACTCACCAGACAAACCGGATATCAGCTTCTCTGTGTCTCGAGTTTGCCACTTGATTGTAACTGAAGAACATCATCATATCTAACGAATGAGACCATAATAACCGGTGGGAATTTTGTTTTGACGGAACATTTAAATTTCTAGCCAGTTTGAGCCAGCCCCTGCTGGATTTCCACAGTATTACGCCGCATTGGTTTCATCTTTTGGAGCCGGAAGCTACGTGCATTTTTTATATACAGTCTATGGTGTGCAGTGAGGGGACCTCTGCCTCCAGATCAGCTCAGTGGAAATCAACAGGACAGCAGCATACGTCTTTTCAGGAACACAAACAGTCTTTAGCCATCAGACTGTCACATGTAAGAAGTGTCATCAATCCCCAAACCCGATCCCCGATCTTCAGTTTAGCTGTCTACGTTTCATGGTTCACATTAAATAATTTATCTTTCAATATAAAAAAATCTAACTTCATCATTTTCAGTGGCCGCATCCCCGGCCACATATCCTTCCTCCTCACACCCCCTTCTAATCTGCACTCCCTTTACACGTTAACAATAAAGTCCATCACTAATCAGAAGTTATTAGGATCTGAACATCACTGAAGTTTATTTTGTGTTTGTTTGATTCACTCAAGAGTTTATGAGACACGTATTTAAACACATTGAAAAAAAAGTCCAACATTTTTACACATTGCAGTTCATCTGCCATGCGAATGTCACTTGACCCACACGACCAGGACATCAGGGTTAAAGTGACCGGAATGATCCAGATTCATCATCAATAAATCTGGGAAGTGTGACAGATGAGCATGCACACACACACACAGTCCTGCTGACAGGAGAGAAGTTCTTCCTGCAGAAAGACATAACAGTGTTTTAACTTCAAGCTGAAGAAGCAATGCCCCGTTCATCCATGAAGACATGATCATGAATTCTGCAGTTTATTAGAAAGAGACAGAGTAGCTGAGTCACGTTTGAAATAATCATGAAATTAAGTTGAAGTCATCGTCCTGCCCTCAGTGATGCATTGAGATGCATTTAATTGTTGACGTGTGAATCGTCTTTGAATCGTGAGGCTAGTGAATATTTTAATGTAGACTTGATACATCAAGGAGACCAGAAAGTGGAACAATATACAAACACTAACAAAGTAACATGAGCAGTTTTCACCCCCAAGTCTGAAGATGTCTCCCACAGCATCCCCACACATCTTCCTCTACTTGCATCATTCATTCTAACAGCACATCAATTTGTGGCTCGAATGTGTTTGCATCCTGTTGGATAGTTAACTCTAAATCTGCGTTCCTAAACAACATTGTGTCCTTACGTCTTGCCCCTGGTGAAATACACAAAAGAGTTGAAGTTGGTGCCTCTCTGTTTGGGGCATCTGAGTTAGATATGAAAGTCCCTTAGCATTGACACTACAATGTACTGTTGGTGGTCCTTTATCTATAACCTGACATTGGGTACTGCTTAGAGAGAGAATTGAGTATCTGTGGAATTAGACAGGCACTCTTCTCTTAATGGTGTACAGATAAAATGTAATAGACACTATATATACATAATATGGTGTAGTGGCATATACAGTAATGTGTGAGGATATACAAAAAATCCTCAACAACTAGCTAGTAGGAGTTTCAATGACCTGTCTGTTTTACATGCTGACTCTCAACACTGGTAATGAAACCTCCCGTTGGTCAGTTAGAACTGACAAAGCCTTTCAGGTGAGAGGGGAAACTGGAATGACTGGATGACTGAGAATCTTCACAGACATTCTCCTCCTAATGTCCCTCCAGGCCCCTCTCTGCAGGGCAGGACCAGGTTCCTGAACAGAGGTAAAGGGACTCAGCAGTGTGTGCAGAAAAGCCAGCCTATCAACCTTGACCAGGATCCTGATCAGGAGGTCGTTACCACTACCAAGACTGAGGTATCTATTCCACATTGCACAAAGACCAGAAAACCAATCTTCTCATGTGCATCTGCATGCAGGATCCCTAAAAGTCTAACTTTGACATAGCAGCAGACTGTGTTTATCCAAGCTGTTCCACCAGGACTCACCAAAGTTATTGTCATTTTTAAAAGTCTAAAGGGGGGCACTCAAACTGGTTGTATTGTATTTAATGTAAAATGTCTAAACCAGAAGAAGGGGATGTCCCACCATTAGTTTTCTCATATTTTACGATGGCAATCTAAACTATTTTAAAATGATTGATTATGAATCAGGACGGCGGTTCGATCCTCAGCCTTCCCAGACTGCAACCCAAATGGCCCCTCATAGATGTTGAATGCACTAATTGAAAGTCGCTTTGGATAAAAGCGTCCACCCAATGACATGTGATGTAATCACCACAGACATCCAATCACAGATGAGACTAAATTTATGTTTCAGTGGATTGTCACTTTTTATTCCAGTTTGGACTGTCACCATCAAATTTTCACTTAATAATTATCATGACCAAAGAAATTCACAAATGACTGCATTTTCACATCATATATTGAAAATACATTTTAAAAAAAAATCTTAAATATCAAGTATTCTTAAAACTGCTGCTAAACATGATCTAATAGCAGTCAGTTATGCAGGGAGTCACACTGGGGACACCCACTAACCAGTCATCTACAAACTGATATATTAACTTGTCATCTGAATAAACTGGTCAGTTATATCTCACACTACAAATGATTGTGAACTCAATACTCTCACTTTTTCAGTTTTTCAGTGTGTAACATTAAGGTGAAAGGCATTTTTAGCAGTAATTTAATATAAAATAATCATAGTGATGTTTTCACTGGTGTGTTTCATCTAAAATGTATGAATTGTAGTTTTCTTTACCATAGAATGAGCTCTTTATATATACATGGAGGGGGGGGGGCGCCAATGTTTTTTTTCTGTTGTCCAAACTGGACAAACTAAAATCATTTGAGTTTCATGCAGCTGAAGTTCACAACAGGTTCTATTTCATGTTGGGAAGGGGAGGGTGAAATGAGGATTATTCAGCTGCAACATGACACTTCACCTCTAGAAATCACTAAATTCTATACGCTGAACCTTTAAGCTGTTTTCAGACATGAAAACAAAATCCGCAGTATTGGCTACTGAGTTTACCCAGTCTGCCTTTCACACGTGCACAACGCAGAGACACGTTCTTTGCACAGATGCGTTCACAACAGCATCAAATCCTCCGTGTTATTCAAGTGAGAGGTGCAGAAGCCGGGTGCAGCAGACAGAGGCAGGAAGTGATGCATTAACTCTGCTGCTGAGATCATGTGATCATGTTTACAGCACCCTGACACCATCATCAGCATTTATCACCACAAACTCTCCTGACATCTTCGTCAGTGTCTTCCACACGTATAACCGGGAGATATTTGTTTTCTTTTAGTTGTTTTCATTTTTGCGTCTGCAGCTTCATCAACCCCCACCTGCTCACGATGAATCCAACGAGGATCCCCTGCTGTGTTCTCACATCGACTGCTCCTAGATCTCCACAGACTTTATATCAGGAGGCCCGGCTAGTATACAATTCATAGAAACTACGGAGCATCTCAATCAGACATTTGTATTCCCACATACGTCTCCTTTGGATAAAATACAGAGTATCCGCAGAATCTAGTGCATATCTGAAAGCAGCTTTAAATGCACACAAACAAAGGTCAGCCTTCAGATGCAACACCAGATGAAAATTCTTCGACAGCCATGGTTTTCTTTGTGTCACATAGTAAATATTCTTACAAGGATTTAAGTAACACCTTTTTAGGCTAGATGACCACTCAAAACATTTTATTCACAGTCACACACACATTCATACAATGCATCTATGGGCAGCACTTTTGTCTATGAGGGGGAAGACTGAGATCGAACAGCCGACCCTCTGATTAGATCAAATTCTACTCCCTCGTCACAGCTGCCCCCCAATTAATTTTTAGTTGCAGCCTTAATGTTAACTCAACAGGGGGAAATCAGAGCTTTTTGTTAATGATGTCACATTGGAGGAGGAGAAGCTTGTGAAATGTTGATGTCAGTAGACCAAAAGAAAAGAAAACCTGAGTTATAGTCTGGAGGTGTAGTGTTTGGTGTAATCACTTATAGACTTGAATTGATTTCTGGGGTTTCTCGACCATCATTAGACATAGGCTCTGTGTCTTAGCTGAATGAATAGAATTATCTGTGCTGAACATTCTCTACTCTACAGAGACAATCTGTCTGGTTCAAAACGATATGTGTTTTATATGGAAATTAGTTCGAAAAGTAGGGATGATCTTATATATGAGGATGAGATGATGATGTGTTCATCACATCAGATATTTTTTGGACAAGTGTTTGTAGCCTTAACATTGGTGAGTAGATCCAAAGTGTCTTTGTTTGATTGGCTTGTGAACATACAGCATGCTCTCATCCACACCTGCCTGCCTAGGACAGTAAAAACTTTATGGGTTTTTAGATGGTCCACTGTCCCACTAATGATGCAGGATTTTCCACTGTGCTCCTCATGGCTGGTTGACTGTGACAAACTGGTCTGTTGTCAATGCATTGGTAAGAGCGCACAATGCTACAATGATGGAACGGCACAAAAAACACAATAAATTAAATACATTTAATTTTTAAAATTAACATTGGGGTGAGGATGTTGCAGTTATGCAGTACACTTTTTTTTTGCACATGCTGGGAAGTTTCTATGCGTCTGTCAGCACCAGCAAGGCTCTTGAGTCATCAGTACCTACAGTACATTTGTGCAGAGTCATGACCAGGGGAGATGTCTGTCTGTGTTATATATGAGCTTTCTCAAGATTTAGGAAAATGTACTTTGAATACCCTGTTTTTTTACTTAAATGTATTGATAAATAATAAGGATAAAATAACTTGTATTCATATTTTTTAAGGGAATACTATTTCATGTAAATATCTTTTTTGAAGGGACCAGTCAGTTGTCTTTGAGATTGACAGCTTCACAGTAGCCCTTGTGTAGTAAGGCCTGCCGGCTCTTGCATTGAGATGGATCTATCAAATATTGTTTCTCACATGTGTTTTCTTGTGTATTTCTTTCAAACCATGATGTTTGCTGTAAGGTCACAGTGAGAAACACACATGTAGCAGGACTATTCTAATAACATAAATAAGTTAGCATTGCATGATTGTGATAAATACAGTGCTTGCAGAGGGTATGCATGATTGCCTCTCTGATGCTTTCATTCTTCATTGTTTTGTAAGGCTTCCATTAGTATATAAACAAATAATTATTATCATTGTGTGTTGTTTGCTACATTTATATCAATGGATATGTATGCAGGTTTATTCTTGTTATGCATTTTATAGTAGGATTTAGGCCTGGAACTAAAGACTATTGTCATCAATTATTAATCTGCTCATTGGTTTCAAATTAATTGTTTAGTATATGATCAAATTATGCTAAAAACAAATGTGTTCTGTCTCATTTGACCCAGAGTTAAAACTTGTTTACAAAGATATATGAAAATGAGACTGGACACATTGTTGTCTCTTTTCACTTGAAAAATTTCTGAAATTTTAAAATAATTTTAAATATATATTATAACAACAAGAACTAATACATTAAAATACTTATTGTTTCGGCTGTAATAGGAACAATTAGTCCCCATGTTACTGCCAGCAGAAGGTGTTTTGAACGAGTTTGTCCTCTCAGTCAGCAGAGCTGGTAGAGGAGGGGGAGCTGCTGATCATCAAGGTGGAGGGAGCGATGGAGGCCATGGGCACCACCAATGAGGCGCCGCCAGACTCAGGCATTGGCACTGGAGGAGGTGCCAACACCACAACTTCACTCCACGCAACTTCAATGGACCGCAGCGATGGCAAGCCGACAAGATGCAGCAACATAATGGAGGTCAGTGGATCTGACGTCATCACCTTTGTTGTCGACAGGACAGCTGAAACTCACAGCGGCAGGGACACCACCCACAGCCTCCTGCTGACAGGAAGTGATGTCAGAGCAGGGGAAATTCAGCCTTTGAACTCAGACTCTCACGTGATAGCACGCAGGGATGCTGTGCCAACTTCTTGCATTGATGTAACAGATAGCAGGAATGCTAATGTGGCTGTGTTAGATACCTCCAAGTCTTCTCTATCAAAAGTGATAGTCATTCATGGAGGGGGGATGTCAGACAAGGAGGGACAGGAGTGTGGGTGGTTACATGTAGACCAGACAAATAGAGAAGCAGACAGTGGCAGACGTGAACAAACTACATTACCCATGATACAGTGTGCTGGACTGGAATCAGCAAGACACAGGTCAGTGCAGGCAGGGTCTTCTCTCCCTCTTGATGACACTCCAGGAACATCATCAAGCAATAACTGTGATGCACCCAGTCTGGTTTTACTCCATCCTGTGCCCCCCCCGAACCACGGCCACAACAAACCCATCTCTAGCAGGTGCCGCCCAGCTTTGTACCCCGTCATGGCCATGGATCGTCCATACAGCTGCACCAGCTGCACCAAGCGCTTCTTTCTGCAGTCTGACCTGCAGAAGCACATGGCCAGGCACACAAGGGAGAAGCGATACACCTGTCTACTCTGCAGCAAGAGCTTTGTGTGCCAGAGTCAGCTGGACATCCACTGCAACGTGCACACAGGAGAGAGGCCCTTCAGCTGCTCTGTCTGCAACCGACGTTTCTCTCACCCCAGCAACCTCAAGAGGCATGAGAAGATCCAGCACTGAGCACAGACACCAGACCACCAAAAGAGGTCCCCACAAGTGGCTTAGACTCCTCAAAGCTTTTCATCAGAAACAGGAGCAGATTAAAAGAAAAATGCAGGAATCAAAATCCGGATTTCAAGCAGCACCTCTCTAGTTTAACTGGTCTACTTCATCATCCAAACTGTCACAATTATCATACCTTCGCACAGCTAGGACATCATGGGCCTCATAACCAGCCTGAAAGATGCGTACGCCACTTTTCACACAAATGCTAGGATGCACTTACACACTAACTTTGATGTGTACGAACATTTTGGAGACTGGAATATGATGAAGCAGACATGAGGTGGTTTCGGGCTCTGTTCTTTCTATCGTCCTCTCTCACTCACTGTATTATCCACAGCAGCAGCAGTGTGTCAGTGTAATTTCTTTATCAATGACATCACTGCGGTCTCATGAATTCACTCCTCACCTCACAAACAGTGTCAGAGAGTTTTGCTTCTTCTTTTTATCTCGTTATGTCATGATTCACTGTGTTCATTGGTCAGCAAGATCATTTAATATTCTTTTATGGTTAAATGTGGGCGTGTAGAGGGCAGAATTTGAGGCAAATCCACGTACAAACATTTCCCGGTGGACTGTGATTTATAAAGGGAAAATTGTGTCACAGTCTGACACCATTGATTATTAACTAAATAAATGTGGTAGTCAGTTTGTGTGAAGCACAACAGAGACACGCAGATATACACACACCCACACACACTCCTACAGGAGAGAAGTTCTTCTGGCAGATTATTATGTTGCGGAAGAAGTGACACTCCGTTTATCCAGGAACGTAAATATGAATTCAGCTGGTTATTATAAAGATCAGTTGTACATGTGAGTGATTAGAAAAGATCAGAGTAGATTGTTGACTGGTGCTGAGTAATGTGCTGGGGGGATGATCCTTCTAAATAATCGTTCATTAATCGTAATCAGTTAAGTAAAAGGTACAGTTTTGAAATAATTCTGATATTGATTTGAAGTCATATACTCCAGCCCTAGTTCACTTGGACACAAAGATGAACTGATTCGATTTTGGTGCTTGGAGGTCAAAGGTCAAAGTCACCTTGACCTCTCGTGCCTGTGAATGTGATATATTCGGATTAACTATAGGAATTCACCTTGATTAACAGATTAGATTTCGTTGTGTCACAGTAGCCTCAAAAAACATGTTTTTGAATGTGATATCTCAAAATTATTTGAGGGAACGTTTGATCAGTTAAAAACTAAATATTGGTTTTAACATGAAATTCGCAAAATTATTTCCAGAAAGCAAATTCTTTTTAAAAACAATTTGAAATATAACATTTATACAGTTACCTTTAAAATAAAACCATACAATAATCATCAGCCTTCTGATTTCCTTTGTGTTCACGTAACTCCTGAGGATTATGACTGATTAATGATAGCATTAGTCGCAGCAGGGTAATTCACTGCATCACAGGAAACATAGGCACATTGGGGAATTTTTGTGAACTGGATTAAATTAATACCCTATGGGATAATGAGGGCCCAAAGTCTCCGGCACAGTTCTTTCTGTGGTTGTGGGCCTGAAAAGTTTGGGAACCTCTGATGTAGAACTCCATAAATGATTAAAATGAGTGGGGGAATCAATGTGCTCTGTGTGGCTCTACAGTCAATGAAGATTTACCCTTTTGAAATGGTAAAGCTCATGTTCAGCTAAGAAGCTGCACCTTCAACTTAGCCCAGTCCACCAATATAAGAGATTTCTTTTTATTGTCCCACAATCATGCACACACAGCACTACATGCAACATGGGGAAATTTGACCTCTGCATTTAACCCATCCGTGTGAACACAGCACAAACTTATTGTCAGTAATGGTATAGCATCTGTAGGAAGAAGCTCTCGCTTGAACAATTATTTTGAAGTCAGTAGTAGTAGCCATAGATAGTAGCTATAACTGTAGAGATGTTTGCCTTTACTTTCATTTCATGCCATAGTGCAGAGATGTCAAACTCAAGGCCTGCAATAAAATATCATATGTTTATCTTAACTGGCGCGCCGGTGCGCAATGCCCGGCTAGACACACATGGAGCGAGCGCTCCTCTCCACTCACTTGCTGAGTATTTGATGATATGAAATTATTTTCCAGAGATCCCAGTGCCTGCCCCGTCAACTTCATCTTATCTCTCTCTCCTTTTCCTTCCGTCTTTCTCTCTCCATCTCACACTGGCCAGAGAGCCAGCGGAATGCACAGGCTCCACTGGCCGAGCAGCGGCGCGCAGTGCCCGGCTAGATGAACACGGAACAAGCGCCCCTCCTCACATGCCAGTATTTGGTGTCAGTTAATTATGTTTCCAGTGTTCCAGAGATCCCAGTGCCTGTGTCCTCCCGTCTGTGCGCCGTCAAGTTCACCCACACGCTTCTCTCTGTGATGAAGATGAACAAAAACCCACACAGGAGTCGTCTCACTGATGCACACCTTCACTTCATCTTGAGGAGCACAGAACCTAACCCCAAACATGAAGGAACTTGCAGCCAAGAAAGAATGCCAAACATCTGGCTCTGGCACATGTACATAAAAGAAGAATGTAGCCGACCTAAATCTGTTTTCTTTTTGCACTTTACTTAATATCCTGTCTATCCTGTTTAATAAATGTTGACCCTGTTTGGCCCTCGACGTAGTCCCACTTTTTCATTGTGGCCCTGTTTGTGATTGAGTTTGACACTGCCTTAGTATCTTGACATTGCGGTATAGGTAGAAATATAAATGAAATATTAACACCTCTAATGCCAGCAGGGATATTAACACAGTATATCAGATATTTATTTCGATTACAGCAGATTTAAATTATAGATATTTTATAGATATGATCGTTTGTTGCACTGATAATAAATAATCAGAGTTCTCTTTAAAATCTAATAAACATGATTTTTTAATATCACACTTGAGAATTCCTCGTTTTCTTTTGCACATATTAACCCGTAGGATCAAAGCTGTGATGATCTCTAAAGACTGACACTATTTGAGTAGCTGGAGTAAACTTGTGGTGTAGTATTGTGCAGTAAACTGTTTTAAAGGCCTAGATAAAGTTTTCCTTTTCGTTTGACTCAGGCATCCTGTCACTCATCGTCTCACACTCATCACATCATTTTAAAGATGTAACTGCATGTTTAATCATTTAAATGTGTAACAAGAGCTAGTAGAGGGAGGTTTACAAACAAATGTACATATATACACACAGTGAAGTTCAAATATACCCATAAATCATATTTTCAGAGAGTTTAATTGTATGGTTTCATTTCATGAATAGTAGTGGAATAGACAGTGATCAGATTATATCCAGCACATACAGTTTATCTTACACATCAACCCAATGACTCCTGTCTGAAGTAATAATTATTGCTGTGTCAGAGCCTCGTGGTTCTTTTTGTCAGCTAAACACCTTCCTCCTTTTTCCAGGGCCAGGGACGTCTGAAAAACACGAGCAGTCCTCAGGAGGAAAAGATGCATGAAGCGCCAGGTATCCTTCTGTTTTTCATTTCCCATTGTTTTCTCATGTTGGAAACACAACTGACATCATTTGGACCTCTACCAAGCACTATCACCAAGCACTGGCTGCCCAAACAGCAGTGAAGCATTTTCTGTATACAACACATCCATGTTTTCCTCCTCAGCTGCTCTGTAATGCTTCATTTAAGATTGAAAGTGCATCGGTGCAGTTCAGTGATAGGTTCCCAGGCCATGTTAATGAGGCCAGCACCAGTCGGGGGGAAAAACTGAGGCCATGAGGTTTGAGTCCTGGAGACATACAGGTCTTGGAGAGATATTTTATAGACAAATCCATTGATTGATTTAGAAAATAATGGTAAAACTGGTATTGAAAATAAGTGTCTTTAGTTACTACTCACAGCTGGGCTGTCGACACAGAACACTGGTTATTATGCTTCTGTCAGCTGACGTGTAAAAACCTTATATAATGAAAGGCGCTATATCAAGCCATCATCATTAAAAAAAAACTATGTTTCTCTCATTATGTTTCTTTGCTGTTGGCTCATCAGGTGACACCCCAGAGAAACAGAGACCTTCCCAAGCCCTGCTGGACTGGCAGGAGAACAGTGAGACTGAAGATATGCAGCAGCCATCTTGCTCCAAACACACACTACAGAGTGTACCAGTAAACTCCTCGTTCAGTCAAACAAGGACAAATGTTGCCTCTGGCTTCCCAACTGCCCCCAGAATGCCTGAGTGCAACATGGATGGGATGAACCATGAGTCTAAACAGGACATCATTGTGATAAACTCAAACAAATCGTCTTTTGGACGAGGTGGAGGTGACAGAGCTGATGAAGAGACGCCTCTTGGCAATATCAGGTCCCAGAATCAGCCACTGCTGTATATTCAGATTAGTGACTCCCCCAGTGAAGTGATGTATGAAGCAAGTCACATCTCTTCCTTCAACAGTCCCCCTGTTTCAATCGCAACAGTGGACTCCCAGTATCAGCAAACACAATATTCATGGTCTGAAATGGGGCAGATGGACAGTGCCTGCTCCTCCAGTAAGAACCACCTTCACGAGTCTGGTTCAGCTCAGACCCAGCAGCAGCAGCAGCACTGCCTCCCCTATGCATGCACCTACTGCTCACGCCGTTATGGCCACCAATGCCAGCTGCGCATCCATGAGCGTGTCCACACGGGGGAGAAGCCATACCAGTGCACCAAATGTGGGAAAAGCTTCGGCCAGTTCTGCAGCCTCAAGCGCCACCAGATGGTCCACACGGGGGAGAGGCCGTTCCCCTGCCCACATTGTGGGAAGCAGTTTTCGACCTCCACCAATCTGAAGGTCCACCAGAGTGTCCACACTGGGGAGAAAAGGTTCCACTGCTCCAAGTGTGGCAAGAACTTCTCCTTCCTCAGCAACCTGATTAGACACCAGGCTCTGCACTCTGTGAAGTAGAGCCACTTACCAAGTTTATGTTCTTTTAGGGACAAAATAATGTGAACAGCTTACAGTAGGATGCAATCAGAACAAAATCACAAAAACCCAGGGTGGTTTGTCATATTCACATTACTGTCATAGTCACATTGTTGTGTAATGCTCCCATTATAGTGTCATGTTCACATTGTTGTGTAATGTTCCCATTATAGTGTAATGTTCACATTGTTGTGTAATGTTCCCATTATAGTGTCATGTTCACATTGTTTTCTCACGTGCACAATATTTGACATTATTGTCATGCTACCATTATTTTATCATGTCCACATTGTTCCACACTAATGTAGAATGTGCACACTACTCTATCATGCTCACGTTATCATGTGCTGCTGATAAATGTGAAGATATTTATTCATGGTCTGTTAAACTCGTGTTATGTTTCAGACATCCAGAAATTCTTTATTTGTTTGCCTCAGTGAAAGTTGGAACCAGTTTCCTGCCACTCTTGGTGAAACACAACCAATGAAGTAACCGAAGTTCTGCAGCTTCTGCTATACAACATAAACTGCCTGAGCAAGTGGATAACATTAATGCTACTTATTCTGATGCTGAATGTTTCCACCTCAATTCAGCTAAAAGTAAAAAAAATGTTTTAAAAGCACCTAACGGTTTAATGCTGCGGTGGGAGAGGCAGTGAGAAAGTAAGAAAACAGATTTTCAGAAATGGCTTCGGAGATTGACAGCAGAGACGTACGGTGTTACTGTAATATCTATATACAGTATACAATTGATGTATAGAGCTGTATATACTGTTACTATGTGTTATTTATGGTACAACTTGGAATATATTTGCCCAGTTGACAAGGCTGAGGATTAACTATAGGACTAACTGGCAGATGATGATGATATGATACAGAACTGAAGTTGAGTGATGTGTACAATTATATTTCAAATAATAATAAAAAACTAGGGCTGCAAGAAGCACTGTGCGAGCCCGAGCACTTGTGCACTCCTGATGCATCCGCGGGGGAGGGCGGATGGTGACCGGATCAAACGGCTACGTATAGTGTGCGTTTTGCGCACCGCGGAAAAGGTTAACTTTCTGCATCCGTCAGGCAGCATTAGACCATGCCCACTAATCATTCATTGCGGTCCAGGCCATCAAGTGGACACCACACTGTGACAGATAAATAAATTACATGTCTTCCACATTTCATACAGGTACAAAAAATAAATCACAAATTTTAATTTCTTTTTCCTTTTTGGTGAAAATATTTGGTGAAGAATCTCATCTAAATGCTACCACATCGTAACATAAAAAAAAAAGCATGACAGATCTTATCATGACCAAACTGGACATCTTTCAATGTAGCATTTCACTCAAAGTCTGTATACTTAGGCAATTTTCATAAGAGTGACTTCATGAATTGAAATGCTTTGGAACAAAACATTTTCATAAAGAGAGGAACTTCATACATTCAGGACATTCATTCTTCTACATTAAGAGCAACTGTCACAGATGAATTCTCTTAAGTGATAATGTTGGTGCTGATTGGACAGCTCCTCTCAGTGAGCACCAAGCTTTTGTCAACACAAAATAAACTCTTAGGACTCATTTTACTCTTAAACATGAACAAAAGTTGTCTCTCAACATAAAATGACACACACCAGTAAGTTTAATAGAGTTTTCAACCCGTTATCAACCTGAAATAAAGGAGAGAAAGAATTCTCTACAGCTCTGAGGAAGCTTTGTCCCTTGGTTAAACCATGGTCTCACACTGCCTTCTAGTGACCAAAGATGCAACAACAGCTCAATCATCTTGATTTGACATCATGAAGCATCAACCATCTTCGCACCGCTGTGGCTAAACTGTTTGAGGAAAAGTCACAATTCTGACCATGAAGTATGATGAATCTTCTATGAAAATTTTGAGAACATTTGAGCTATGTATTGTAAACCAGCCAGGAGCAGGGTGTCAAAGTATAAAACGTGTCACTTCCTGTAGCCAGCAGGTGCCACTGTGCAAATAAGTAAATATTGACATGGATCTGTTCAGGCTGGGAGTCTGATTAGTTTGAACAGTTTAAAGCTGATTGGACACTGTACAGAGGATATAAAACAAATTTCTCTTTTTTGTGCGTATTATCAAATATTGACGTCATGCCATGGTCACACCGTGTGACGTACACTAATACTTTTAAATAACTTCATGGAGTTGAGATGAGACTCACTGAATTTAGAGTTGATCTGATGATAACTCTAGGAGGAGTTCAAATGGAATCAAATATTTGAACTCCTAGAGGAATATTTTTGATAGCTTTTCAGCTATTTTGTCACGCCCATTTCTTAAAACCATATGAATGTCTTCATGGCTGACTTTCCCATGTGGCAAAATCAAGATGATTTATGATTATCTGGGATTGATACACATGTGTGCAAATTTTCATAACTGTGCACAATTTAGGGCGAGTAATAAGGTATGATTAAAAGGTGAAGTGATTTGAAATAGGTGATTGTAATCATGTTTTAGTACAAAAGCAGCATCCAGGAAAGGCCGAGTCCTTCAGGAACAAAGATGGGCCGAGGATCGCCAGTTTGCTAACAAATGTGTGAGAAAATTATTGAAATGTTTAAAAACAGTGTTCCTCAAAGAAAGATAGGAAGGGGTTTGGATATTTCCTCCTCTACAGTGCATAACATTATTAATAGATTCAAGGAACCTGGAGGAATTTCAGTGCGTAAAGGGCAAGGGTGCAAGCCTATGCTGACTAACGGTGCTCTCCCATCCCTCAGACGACACTGCATCAAGAACTGTCATTCATCTATAAGTGATATAACTACATGGGCTCAGGATTACTTTGGCAAACATTTGTCAAGCATTACAGTGCGTAGTTACATCCACAAATGCCAGTGAAAACAAAGCCTTATGTTAACTGTGTCCAGAAAGACTTCTCTGAACTCAAAGGCATTTTTGAAGAAATGAATGCTGTGTGCTCTGGACTTAAGATGAAAAGAACCATCCAGACTGTTAAGGACCTGATATAGTACTGTGACGGATGGACCAGTGATGGGTTCGTAAACCTGCGTTTTTACTCCAGTGGTTACGGTTTGCAGATGAACCCGGATGTAAACAGAAGCAGCCTCACCGAAGAGCAGCGGACAGCAAGATGAACGACTCCTGCCCACCTCCCCTCAGGTGTTTGACCGCATGAGGCAGAGCAGCTGTCCAACACACCAATAGGTGGTGGTTTGGCTGACAGAGCCGGTGAGGATGGAGCGTTGTGTCAACTTGCATTCTCAGCTGGCCTCTGTCATGGAGGTGTTAGCTAACGCGGCGGTGGCGGAGATCTGTCAGCTGGTGGACGACGGCTTCGCCTCGCTAAGGCTGGAGATCTCCCGGAGCCGCAGGGAGAACTTGGCGCTGAAGAGCCGCCTGCGGCGGATGGAGGTCCGAGCCGGGGAGAGCTCCCACAGAGAGCCCGTATCGTCCATGGTGGTCACCTGTGCCTGCAGAGGTTAGCCGGGCTCCGTCACAAACTAACACATCGAATTACTATCACTGACATGGGTCCAGTCATAAATAACACATTTTAACATAAGGCTATTATTGGTTCTTCCTGCTGCTGTCTGCTCTGATAGCACTTCACAGGTTAGTCGATGAGCCGATCCACATTCATTTAAACAGCGAGTCAGCCGAATATGTGTATTTTACGTTATGAATAACAGTTCCATCGTGTCAGCTTGTTTATTGCGATAATTGGATGTTTTGCTCAGATTGAATAATAAACCGAATACTTGTGGACTGTTGATCTTTAGATAATTGCTCTATTATATGGAAAATTATAAATCACATGGTATTTTCTAGTCTAATAGATACATTTTGAGAAATAATCAGCAGATGAATTGATAATGGTAATAGCACTGCATTTATGTTGCCCTTTTCTGATGTTAATGACCACAACGTACTTTAAACTACTGGTCACAATCACCACTAACACACATTTCTAGTGTCTATAACTCTGCGTTGTGGTGTGAGTGAGATAAAGACACTCTGAACTAATCTAACATACTATGTTGGCCGTTAGAAAAACAACAACACAAGACATATATAAACCCACATACCTGTAATTGTACACAACATGGTCACAATCTCTTTCATGTGAATACTGTATGTTCAGGACTTGTAAAACATGCATAATATTACTACTTGCTTCTTACTAATGAGAAGAGTCTCCACAGAGCATGCTAATGTTACACATGCACAGCAGCTCAACAGCACACACATGCCCCGACACACCTCTTCTCCAACATGCAGGTTTACACATGAACAGTAATAGATCACTACACCAAAATATAGCATCACTAAAACAACATTACATATTGTCAGTAACTTAACATCACTTTTACGAACCCAACTCAGAAAAAGACGGTATGGAAAATACAAATAAAAAAGACAGCAGTGATTTCTGAATTAAATTTGACTTGTATTTCATTGCTGACAGTATGAACATAAGATATTTTATGTTTTGTCTGCTCAACCTCATTTTATTTGTACATAAACATCCATTCCTTGCATTCAGGCCTGTAACACATTCCAAAATAAGGACAGGGGAAATTTAGGGCTAGTAATGAGGTATGATTAAAAGGTGAAGTGATTTGAAATAGGTGATGTTTTAGTACAAAAGCAGTATCCAGGAAAGGCCGAGTCCTTCAGGAGCAAAGATGGGCCGAGGATCGCCAGTTTGCCAACAAATGTGTGAGAAAATTATTGAAATGTTTAAAAACAGTGTTCCTCAAAGAAAGATAGGAAGGGGTTTGGATATTTCCTCCTCTACAGTGCATAACATTATTAATAGATTCAAGGAACCTGGAGGAATTTCAGTGCGTAAAGGGCAAGGGTGCAAGCCTATGCTGACTAACCGTGCTCTCCTATCCCTCAGATGACACTGCATCAAGAACTGTCATTCATCCATAAGTGATATAACCACATGGGCTCAGGATTACTTTGGCAAACATTTGTCAAGCACTACAGTGCTTAGTTACATCCACATATGCCAGTTAAAATGTTATTGTGCCAAAAAGAAGCCTTATGTTAACTGTGTCAAGAAGCATCGTCAACTTCTCTGGACTCAAAGGCATCTGGGATGGACCATAACATAGTGGAAACATGTATTGTTGTCGGATGAGTCAGTATTTCAGGTCATTTTTGAAGAAATTAATGCTGTGTGCTCTGGACTTAAGATGAAAAGAACCATCCAGACTGTTATCAGCAACAAGTCCAAAAGCCATGGTATGGGGTTGTGTCAGTGCCCTTGGCAAAGGTAACTTACACTTCTGTGATGGCCCCATTAATGCAGAAAAGTACACAGAGATTTCAATAAGACAATGCAAAACCACATTCTGCACACATTACACAGGCATGGCTGCTGAAGAAGAGGGTGGGGGTGCTGGACTGGCCTGCATGCAGTCCCGACATGGCCACAAAAGAGAATGTGTGGCGGGTTTTGAAAAAATGACCAACAGAGACCCCGTACTGTTGCACACCTTAAGACTTGTTTGCAGGAAGAATGGGACAAAATGACACCTGAAACGCTTCATTACTTGGTGTCTTGAGTCCCTATTTTTGAAATACTGTATGCCGCAAGAATCAAAATTGAGTGTTTAGTGTTTATTTTGTAAAAACAATACAATTCATGATTTCAAACATCAAATAATGTGCTTTTGTTTTGTTTTTACTGTAATACAGGTCAAACATCATTTATTAATCACTGTTCTCAGTTTTAATCTTAAATGTAACATACTGTCCTAACTTTTTCTGATTTAGGGTTGTACAACACAAAACTAGCAAAATTTGTGAGAGCAAAGAAAATGCATACTCTACCAAGGAAAGTCCAAAGCTAAGAGGAAGTAATCTTCCTGGAAGTAATCTTTGTGGAAGCGCACAAATAGAGTATTCAAAAAACAAATGCTATACTTCCAGCAATACTCCCTACTATTTTACCCCTCAAGTTGGCTCATACATTTAGTATAATACCAAACCTACTTATTAACATAACTATGAAAGAACATAGTAACGAGAATTTAACAACAGCTAAGAACAAAACAACCAGAAGTGGCGATCCGCACCTTTCAAAATAAAAGTGTGTACAATTCGTGTGGGAATTTCCTACAACCCTGTTCATAATATAGCGCAACAACATACTACTACCACCCACGGCGCTACTATTCATTCTAGCTGTTCATCCAATAAGCAGCCTGAGGAAAGCTTTGAGTGAAAGCTTCTCAACCAATCAGGGGCTTCTACCCCACGTGTGGAGCCTGCCCACAGGCTGCATTGTTACCAGCAAGTGATCCAATGAAATGAATAACATTGGCGCGCAAGCTTTTCAAAGCAAGCAATGAATGAGACAGACAAAGACGATAGCTAATATGAAACATAAACACGACAAAACAAAGCAAATTAGCTTGTTTTCATATAGCTTCACAAAGAAATACAAGGAAACTCCCAACATATTAAGTACGGTTACGAGTGACGACAAGTGACGACGAGTTAACGTTCCCATATAGCTCGGCTGCCCTCTCCCCATCAAGTCCTCCCGTAGCCACCCCCTCACACCAACAAGGCAAGTAACAGTTAGACTAACGTTAACGTGTCTGGCTGTCTGTATGCACATTTTCTGGAGGGAAAAATAATAATGGCAGTAGGCAGAGGTAACTTATGATAGCGTTTCATGTGTTATAGAAGACAGGGTTCAGTAGCCTGGCACCAACACTGTTCCCCACGAAGACCTGTCACAACCTCCGCTAGACCTGTCATCGATAGATGAGCCTGCAAGCCAGCCAAAACTCCAAACCTTCCCAGCCACACACATATCGGGGAAAGCTGAGTTTTTCTGACAGGTGGTACTCAAAATTCCCGTCCAAAGGTCTTGTCATCATTTCCCTGAAGCAGCTTATGAGGATAGATTCATTAATACTGGCTTCAAAGACTGGAAACATTTTTCTGAGGGTTGTGGCAAACATGAAGCCAGCAGAGCACATGTTGCAGCGCTGGGGAAAATGGATGGTTTTAAGCAAAGTCACCAGCCAGGACGGGGAAATATTATTAACCAGCTGAACAACGATGCCAGCGACAAGTCCTTCATTGAAAGACATAGACAGCACATCATGACAGTAATAGATCTCGTCCTGTTCTGTGCAAAACAAGATATTTCATTGCGTGGGCATCGGGAAAACGCAGATGCGTTAAACAAGGGTAACTTTTTTGAACTACTTGACCTGGTTTCCAAATATGACCCAGAAATAAAAAGGCGACTGGATGAATTACCCAAGAATGGTAAACTACTGCACCACGCTATACAAAATGAGATACTGGAATTCGTAGCATCACTCCTTGTAAAAAAAAAATAAAGGCAGATTTGCATGATGAGCCAGACACATATTATGCGATTTTAGCAGATAAGTGCAAAGACTTGTCAAAAAGAGAGCTAGTGGCAGTATGCGTCAGAAACCTGCACAACGGCACATTGAAAGAACGGGCTGTGGGATTTGTGGAAACAGACAACATGACTGCAGAGGCAATATCGGCTAAGGTTTTGGAAGTGCTGGAGCCGTTGCAGCTGGACCCGGCACTGTGTGTCGGATTTGGGTTTGACGGCGCATCAATCATGTCAGGGCACAGACATGCCAAATTTCTGAAAATTCAAAAGCAGATGCGACCAGGGCAAAAAACACTGGAGCTGGAGAGATCCTGTGATGTGCGGTGGAGCTCATAGTCTAATGCATTCAGTAAGGTGTTGACACTCCTGGGACCTATTTTGGATACCCTCGCCACATTCTCCGAAAGTTCTGGCCAAACAAAACTTGAAGCTGACTCCCTACTGCACCAAATGCAAATGAAGAAGTTTTTGTTTCTGCTTGTCACATTCAATCAGTTATTTGAAGTCAGCCACTACGCCACTAAGGGCTTGCAATCTTCCACACTATCAGTTACAGTTTGTATTGATCTGATTGAAGGGCTCAAGGACAGCTACACACAATTCAGGAATGAAAATGATGCATTTGATAAAGTAATGGCACTGACAGATGAGCTGATGAATAAACATGCAATTGTGTGCTGGGATATCAGTAAATCACGCAAGAGGAAGTTGCCTGCCAGGTTATACAATACGCACGTTGATTCTACTCTGGGCAAATCATCACCTGTACAGCAAAACTCGGACCTACAGAAATTGTGGAATGACATACTGGACAAGCAGATTATGGAGCTGAACACTCGTTTCAAACCTGACACATACGGCTTTATAAGAGCAGCTGCTGCCTGCTTGCCACTGTCAGACACCTTTGGTGACAAGGCTCTCATCCTGCTCGCCTGCGCGCACTTTTCCATTCCCTGTGGAGGACGCAGAGCACACTGTGTTTGTGCAGCAGCTTAAAAGAAAGGCAAAGGCCAACAAGAACACAAACAAGAAAAAATAAACACTTGTAGAAGTGCTTGATGCATGCCCCCGTGATA